ATGATTTAAATATTCAGCTCAATCCCAACACGATTCTGAATATATTATAATTTCCGTTTACCGATCAGGCTTTTTTGTATAGATTTTATAATAACGTTTTACCAAAAGTAGTATTTTTGTCTATTATTGGTTTAATAATAATAATAAATAAAAATAGTTTATTCAGTAAATGATCATACATAAATTATAACCGGGGATGAGGTCTCCTTTTAAGTATAAAAACTTGTGTTAGGAGACTCCACTCTTCCATAGCACTTACATTACTATTTGCATGATCTTTACATAATAATTAACTATAAAAATAAAAAACTAATAATATTCATGCCAAATCACGTGTATGTGTTATAAATAAATTACATTATTTCATATTGCTTAAAAGAGCCTCAGTATCATCATAGCTCTTATGAAATACCCATTTGGTTAGAACATATTGCAATTATGGTAGTTAAGGTGATGAATTTTTATGCTTTTATTAATGGCGTTGTATAAAGACGCTGAATGTTTTACATAATGCCTCCCAGCTAAAACCGTTTTAACGGCGACAACTGTAGACACTACGTTTTTCTTCTTTTAGCTACAATACAACGGTTAAACTTTAAGCCTTTATGCAGTTTCAAAACTGAATATAAGATTTACAGTTTCCTAATAGTAAGTACACTCTTATGGCATAATCTTCTGTAAGGAATCTTGGGTTGTGAATGGGTTTAAAATGCATAATTTTTAGTAAATTTCTCTCTTCTTAATATATAAATGCAGATGAGAAATAGCATACACATATGCTCATTTATTGCATAAACCTATAGCTATTTAGATAGTTAGCTATTTTATTGTATAAACCATAACATTATACCCATATATTTAAAAAATAACACAAAATTAAGTAAATTATTTGTCCCGGGCAGTAAATACCAGCCGCAATGACTGCAATATTTAAGAAATGACGCCATTTAGAAAGATACTTTTGAGGGGTTAATCTTTACGACTTAGTAAGAATAAGGATTTTTATAAATCCCGTGCGTAATACTTATTGATACAGTGAATGATAAATGTGTTTGTTTAATCGACACTTGGTTTGCTTCACGGAACGACATAGAAGGCACTGCTACGATAAGTACAATAACAGCGGTACGACCGCGGTCTGCTTTTACTACGATTAAGCACAATTAATCGATTACGAACGTATTACCCGTTTTTCTGTCGCTTCCTCAAGATATTATCCATCATTAATGGCGGCTCATCGCCAATAACGGTATAATGTTATATCGTTAGTTGGAAATTTTCTATTATTGGGAAAACATTTGAAAAGAATTGTAAAAGTGACACACTGTGGCTTTTCCTAGATGAGATCAATTAATATGGCTTTATTTATACTTAAGATTTAAGAATATTTATTTAGTCTTATCAATATCTGTATTCTAATAAAATCTAAATCTAGATTTTTCGGGTAAAATTTAGTCTAAATCCGTTAATATTTTATTCAAAAATATTAACAAACAAAATCAAGAATTATTATGAAGAAAATGCTCAGAATGCTTCATAAATTAGTAAAACCGGGTTGTAATGTGCGTAAATAAAAATAGTGTATTTACATTTACTATATAGTATATAGTGTATTTACATATAGCTATTTAGCGGGTTGTAAATGTTGTAATTTGTGCGTATTTGTTATCATTGATTCCAATGTCAAGTTGGACTGAAGTTATAAAACGTGCCGAAAACGCATATCGTGATTGTGACGAAGGGTTTGAGTATAGAATAGAATAGAATAATATTTTATTCAATATAGAAAAGAGGATGTTTTTCGTACCGGATGTTTGAGAAACGCTTCCGAAAATGAAGACAGACGATAGTACTAGCAGTAGCTTTGATGATTGGACTGAAAGAAAATTGATCTCTATGAAAAAAAAAAACATCTTTTTACAACGTTTATTAGCTTTATTGACGTTCCATCATGTTAGTACAGCTAAATGAAACGGTAATTGCATAAAAAAATCATGAAAATACTGAAACATAAAACCAGCAGTGCAACTTAAAATAAAACCAGCTGACTATAGGGTTAATATTCGCACGGACGCTCAACTACTTTATCTAGCTCAGTAAGAAGCAATGCATTAAAATATTATTGTAATACACTTACGCTCACTCTACCCTTCCCTTTCACACACGCGCTGCCGCCGCTCGTGTCACCTCGCGCTGTGCAATTCACATTACACACATGGAGGTTTGAGAGAAGGAGAACGATCGCTACATACTAAAGAATAGCCCGCCTGTCCTTGAAAATTTATAGAATTATAGCGGCGCTGCCGTCGGTGATTAGTGGCTGCAAAGTTAGCTGTCTATGAGTACAAGTAAATGAAGCGTAGACAGAGAAACCTAATATTAGCGTGGCCTTGAGTGAGAAACAACGATAACGTAGTTTTAGGTTATACAATAATCTTTATGACTTTTAAACATATTTAGATAAAAAAAAATAATTGTTCTAAGAACTGAACTGAACAAGATTCACCAATCTTAAGCTCACAAAACACTTTTTTCTCACTTAAACCAACTTGTAAACTCCTTAGATCGCTATGAACTGTCAAAGTTGTTTAGCAAAGTGTAGTTTACTAAACAAAAAAACCGGCACGGAGAAAGGGACAAACAATCACACCGCTCTGTCTCATTTCTATGCAAGACGTATGCATAAATCTATCCTTTTCGTGTGCGAATGTGAAAGAAGGCGTCAATTTCTCTGTCTACGAAATGAAGTTAGTTGAATAATGTACAAATTTTCTTTGCGGCATTGGTGAGAAAATTTTCGTGCTCCGTAATTTTTTAATTTTTGACAAAAGAAACATTAAACAATGGAGAAATATTTTATTGTGCGTGGATGTGCAAGTGGTTTAGCATTTGATCGAAAAAATAGACTGAAAATGACTTTTATTGAGCGAACTTAGCGATCGCAGCGCCTCACTTATTGTGTCCATATTTCTGGGACACTATTTTCTACAGCGATCGTTTTCCTTTACACATGTTTAGCGTTGCCAACAGGTGGGGAATTCCCCAAATCGCAGGGAATTTAAATCTGGTTGATTTTTTGGGGATTGTTATTATGCGGGGATTTTTAAAATCGATAGCCCGGGCCAAGTCAGAACCTTTTTTCAAGAAATCTAAATACTTAACATTTTTGTAAGTTTACTTATGAATATTGAATGACTCTCTTTTTTAATTATCTTCATTGCACCACATTTAATTTTTGGATTTATTTCGGCAACTTTTGTGTATCATTTAATGCTTTTCTTTTCTTTATTTTTAATTCTTAAAGCAGAGTAAATGCATATCCTGTGGTACATTTTAATGTCAACAAGGGAAGGAATTAAAAATACTCTATGGAGTAAAATGCTTGTTACAAAAATACGGAGTGTGACAAATTTTTTTATTTACCTAGTGCCTAAAAAGGATAACGGGACCGACAACTTAACGTACGAATCATACCGGAAAAGTACCCAAACCGTCATATTCATAACTTTGACCACGCTATTCTGGTTGCAAAATCTTTTCAACTATAGACCTCGTTAAAGCCTACAATCAGATTCTCGGATTTAGGAGGAAGTTGCTAAAACAGCCGTTACTACACCCTTCGGCATGTATGAACTCCCATTAATTGGGTTCGGTCTGCGCATCGCTGGGCAAACTTTTCATCGGTTTGTTGATGAGATGACCTGAGGTCTCGATTTTCGCTAATGTTTTCTCGACATTTTTCTTGTCTTTTGAAAAACAGAAGCAGAACATCGAGACCACCTTCACCAGTTGTTTGAAGTTTTGTCTTTAAATTGGGGAACTTGACATGGATTTTAGGGGAATTTAACAAATTCGTGTTGGCAACGGTGCGCGTTGCACCGAAATTTATCTACTAAAATTTGCAGGCGACCTATGATGATAAGAATTAGAGGCGGCAATAGCAATAAAACTTGCAAGTAATTTTTAATATTTCTGACGTACCTCTTTTTAAATTCAGTTAAGTTCGGATTAAAAACGGAAAGTAAATTAAAATAAAATAAAAAAATAATTTTTTAGATAAGTTCTCATAAATTAATTAACTGTCGATCATAATTGCAATTGATTTTAACTATTAAATTATTCAGTACCATTTCATTTCTATTTTCTTGTACAAAATAAGAGATAATGATGAAATTGTATTTATAACTGTAGTACCCAATTAGGTATATATATTTATTAATTTCAATATTATTTTTGTAGTAACGAACTGCTTGTTGCGTCAGGGTCAATTGATTGTCTAATTGTATTAAAATGACAACTATAACTTCTAAATTGCATATTAAGACTAGTCTTAGGGTAACTAAACCTATAAAATAAAAGGAATGTCGTAACGGTTTAACGTTTATGTTTAATAAGCTCAACTCCGGTGTCAGTTCTTGAGCATCCCCTTGTAAAACCAAATTGATTTTTATGAAGCAATTTATTTATATTAAAAAAAATTAACATTGATCAAAAATTATTTTTCAATTTTTTTACTAAATGTTGATAGTACAGAAATTGTTCTAAAATTGACGGGGTCTAATGTACTACCAGATTTAAATAAAGGTATGACTTTATTATGTTTCATTGAATCAGAAAACACACCAGATTGGACAATTGTATTAAAAATAGTGGCTAAGATAAGGCTAATTTATCTATTATAGATGCAGTAACTGTAACGGAAAAAATGTTAAGAAAATGGCAGACTTATGGGGGATAAGTTCATTGTTTACTAAACATCAATAATTTTAAAATATTTAACGATATCTTTTGGCATATTACTTATACTCTATGGAACTTAAAAGCAATTGAACAAGTTTTTACATTTTGTTTAAGTATATTGTAGCCAATTAAGAAAACCATATGACTTACTATAACTTTTTATTATATACAAGGTAGACGTCTAAAATCTATAAAATTAACATTTCCATAATGTGAAATAAACGTAGACATAAAGAAAACTTATAATATTATATAGTAATTTATAAGATCATCTCCTGCAGTATACTAAGTGGGATCTTCCAAATATACAAACTTCTGTCTTTATAGCCGGCAATTATCTGTAACAATGAATTAAAATTAGCTAAAGATTCTTAGGTTGGAAGTTGAAAGGGATGTAATCGTATATTATTATGATTGCTTAGTGTCAGTGTAAGAATATCCACTACCCCATATAGTCCCGTGAGTGTCATTGGAGGCGACAGAAGGATAAAAACCAGGAGATGGGCAGCAGCGACTTCCTAATACAACTAAATATGCGGGGGTCAACCCACCTGCCGGTGTAGCAACTATGGCAAATATTTATTTATTTATATATGTATGCTTTATTTGCACACTAAGTACAAAAAGGCGGACTTAATGCAACAAGGCATTCTCTACCAGTCTACCTCTAGGCTAAACAGAGAAGATATTGTGGGTGCAAATTGCAACTGAGTTAAAATATTGTGGGTGCAAATTGCAACTGAGTTAAAATATCTATGAGTAGTCATACACATTACATATTACGATACATATTATAAACATAATTACACACATATATTATATAGATATACATAAAATATATATAAATATATACATATATTTACTTAATACTGCCTGTGTATATATTCATACATAGTACATACATAATTAAATATCGCTGTTTCTGATCCAAACACCTATAAAATATTTGAAATAAAAACAGCAAAAGAAGAGAGAATTTAAGGATATAAAAAAATGTTAATCCACAAACTACTCCTACAACTCCAGAAAATGATTCCAGAGCAAGCATTTGAACGATGCCTAGCTCGTGGCTGCATGTACACTGCTTGGTAGGTTGTTCCACAATCTTACCACATGAGAAGTAAAAGATATATACAAGAAGCTAGTGTGACAGAGGGTCACATGAAGATTAGACATTTCCGCAGAACGGAGACAATGATTATGGGAATCGCCCTGATACTGAAATTTCCATTTCAGATATTCAGGGACAAACGGATCGTGTTAAACTGAAAATAATGTGCACAGTATTCTGTAATATCTGCGATAGAGGAGAGGTAGCCATTGAAGCTGATAACGATAAGAAAACATGTGGTCGTATTTACGTAAACCGAAAATGAAGTATATACAATTATTAAGAAGTCAATCCAGTTTCTTTAGAAGTTCTTGAAAGGCGTCAGCATAGCAAACATCTGCATAATCTCAAATAGGCAACACTAGAGTCTGTATTAGCATCGCCTTAGTCCCTATCGGTAAAAAATTCTTGAGAAAATACAGATAACGCAGAGTGCTAGTGCCTTTTTGCTCACTTCATATATATGCGGTCGCCAACTAAGGGTGTTGTCTATAACTCAGCCAAGATCTTTAACAGTTGCTGAGTAAGGAATAGCAACATTATTAAAGATTATAGGAAGTAGCGCCTTCATATCAATTTTAGGCAATCTAAGAGAACTATCACTACAATAGCCCGACATTTTGATTTAACAGAAGCCTGCATTTGGGTAGTTGAAGAAATATGTAAGTTAAGATTACTTATAGAAATTGCACGGTCCACGTTACAAGAAGGTTTACCAACTCTGATCGACCGGTGAAAATTCCATGTATCAGCCATAGAAGAATTCATGATATTATGGTGAATATAGTGGCGTTTAGCACCTCGTACAAATTTTTTTAATCTTTTTATTATGTGCGAGCAGCTATGCAGGTCTAGGGAAGGAGACCAGTATCACTGCCACCTAGAAGATCTGTTGTGATCGCTGCTATAGCTACAGTTCACGGCTAAGCCTTATGTCTTCAATGAATAGAAGGAGCTGCTTAGCCGTGAGCAATTTCATTTCTTCTGGGCGGAGTACATAGTTTCCCAGATAAGTATTACGTTTGCGCATTAAGGGTCGCGCCTCGTACTATCTGATTACATCGATTTCTCGCAGCTTTGAATTTTGTCCAATTGAGTTCACAACGGTTCTGCTTGAATTTCCTAAACATCTGATCGCGCTTAGACATGGCCTTATGGATATTTTCAGTAATACATGACGCAGGCACGCGTTTTAACCTAACCTCACGAATAGGTGTACGTTTGTCAAACAGCTTATGAATAGTCAGTAAACCAATACTTTCTGCATTAAATGTATCGTTCCAAGTGTGCGTTAAGCGACGCATCATGTTGGAGCGTTTCTACATACATTTAGCCTAGCGAAATTACGCAGACGCACTATAGTGGCTTTACTTTGGGATGTTTGATTTTATAGGAAATGAACAGAAGCAAGGAACTGTCCGCGGCAGGGAACACGTCTTCTGAGGAGACTAAAATCAAATCTAACAATGTATTATCAGTAGTAAGATTGTGATGGGTGGCATCAAGTGGAAGTATTGAAAAATTTGCCGAAATATCTCCCCTATGATGCAATCAATGAGGGTAGGCCTAAGTTCAGCAGTGGACTTTTAATAGACTGTAACAGTAATGTTATACACTATTAATAATTTACGGCCTCGTTGGCCTAGTGATCATAAGTACGACTGCAGAATTGTAGGCATAGAGTAGAGTAATATATACAGAAATAGAGAGCCATCTCCTAGGATTTTTTGTCACCCAATATGAATAGTGTCGCCGTCTGGTATCATATCCCTTGAACTAACCTCAATATCATGTTGACTATAGATAGCTGTATGTAGTTATGTATATACAACTATCTATACTATAGGCGGTTATATTTATATTTTAAGGGATTAAGGTTCAATAAAAGACGTATTATAGATTTCAGTAATATTAACATTTATTTCTTTGTTATATATATTTAACATATACGATGTAAAATCGTCTATTCCGCAAAATACAACACCAAACCACATTAAACCACCGGGTTACCGGAAGGATAAATGAAAGCGTCCATTTCGCACAACACTACACAAACATACAATGTGGTTCCATCATGAAAATCTAAGCAGACGACAAGAAACAGAGGGCTAATCCCAACTCAACCAAACTTATTGTAGCAACAACCGAAAATCACTTATAAACTATAATAAAACAACAACTTGCTCAGTCGCCGGCTCGCCGGTAGCCATTATGTCATATAATGTTGCTACTTGCCAGTTCGAGAATAATCAGAATTGGTGTAGTCGCCATCTAGCGCACCTTTTAGAATTTAATGTTCGAAAGTTTAAGCGGATATGGTACAAGATGGCACTAGTGTCTTTGCAAATTATTGAACCTCAACCTAAAGTATGGAAGTGTACCCCCCCCCCCTGATTGTAGGTCATGTGATCCCGGGGCCGAATATGCCACTGCCAGTGGTACTGAAGTTGAATATACCAACAAGACATTACTAAATTTATGAAGGTGTCTTTTCTCTGTATGTTTTGTATGGTGTGCAGTAAAGAATATTAAATAAATAGACTTTTTACCCAGCGACCGATCATTTAGGTAACCAATTTTATTAGGTATTTATTATGTACTATTAAAGTTTACTTTAAAACAATTTAAAAATAACTATGTCTAGAAGTCTAAGAATTTTGTACATCTTTTACATCCTAGTTAATTCTTCATAGTAAAACAAAGTAACCCAGTATAATCGTTGGTAACTTCTGAATTACTTGACTTACTTGATTCACCACAGTATATTTGTTTTGTCGTTCATAACTATGCTAGTATATAATAGCTGACATTGTAGTAGTTATTAAAATATACTCTATTTATGAAACAAAATGACTGACATTCAGATTGTAATTAAGTATGTTGGTTTAGTGCAATAAAAGAAAATCACAAAATTTGAAAGTCCGGTGTGAAACTCATAGTCACTTACTGAATGGGTAATAAGGTCTGCCAGGCAAGTTAGTGTATATAACAGAAACATTAAAAATTAACTTAAACACTAACTTTAATTATTTTTTACAGGGTGTAAGTTTCCGTCTAAGTGGTTCCACCCTCATACCTATTTCAGCTTACACTGCTTTCACCTTCCGGTCTGAAGGAAATAGAGAGCTAACCCGTAAATTAAATTAGACTGCGAGGCATATCAACTTTATTTCTCAGAGGTGACACTGTAATGCAGTAGCCTTAACAGGTTCCCTTGTACATAATATTAATTAAAAAAAAACGACGGGTACCGGGGTGCCCAGAAGCTTGAATATTAACGTTGTGCATTTTTGATATTTTGGAATGGTTAGGGAATAATTTTGCACGAACTGCTTTAATTATCATTATCTACATACATACATAATTATCATAAAAGTACTATCATTTATGTGGTAGAATACAATATTTATTTATTGCGCTATCGTACACAACTATTAAAGTCGTTTGTCACCCTATCCTATAAAAAAAAACTAAACGACACAGCATTCGCCACGCCGTAGAAATAGAGTAGGATATTTCTTCTCCTACGCCGCGCCGGCTATCTTTCTCTCTCCATCCGTCTTAAGCATTTTAGATCAGGGTCACGTGTCCTGACGCGAGTTTAACATTTTTTACCCATTACAAAAAAGTGTACAACGTCGCTAAAGAAGTTTTCACTTCAAAAACAACTTAAACAAACATTACCTTGCTGCCGACAACGGCGAGTGAGAGCAACATTAGTCCGGGTCCTCTCAACTGTGCCATGGGTCGGGCTTCGCCCTCCCGGTACACGTACACGCAGCCGTCGTAGCAGCCCGCAAACAGAAGCCCCCCAGTCGCTCTCAAGCACACGGCGCCTTTGCCACCCTCGTGAGTGCCAACATGGGATCCACTCTGTAATAAGATTCAATTGTGGATCTTACTTTAATATATTAATAAACCAATACATCTAATATATAAAAATTAATGTTTTTTTTATAGGATAGGGTGACAAACGAGCACACAGTCCACCTTATGGTAAGTGGTTGCTGTGGCCCATAGACATCTACATCTATCCTCGATTACGAATCAAAATGCAGATGCGTTGTCACCCGTGAGGACTTAGGTGAAATGCCCCGTTTCCAGTAAAAAGTGTCTCCGGTTCTTTACACTCACCATACGAAACACAGCAGCATTAAGCTACTATTTGACGCTGGTATTCTGTGAGAGCGTAGTCCCTCCCCGGTCGAGCCGACCCATTCGTGCTACACACAGAACACTTAATATAGTTAGTAGAAATGTTATACGAGCCGGGAACGTGCGCCGTGTATATATGGCTTAAACGCCAACTACTAGAATTTCGTGACTCAGTTCGAAACAAACCGTCGTCACGTGTTAGTCGTGGTGCACGTGGTTAAAAATGGTCTATTGCAGTGTTTCGAACTGTTCAAACTGTTTAGGAAAGGGTTATTGTTCTTCTAAAGGAATTTCTTATCATTGGTGAGTAAAATAATACATTGTTAGATCGATTTTATTGAACGATACTTTGCCCTTCAACGCATCGTAGTATGGCCGCTGGTCCCAGACGCCAATTAAGGATGTGCTTAGATTTTAGTTTATCGACGCTATCGATATTCTATGCCTTGTATAATCAATTCTAGCAGGTTATTTTTAGAAATAAATTTTGCTTTTAAATAAAAAGCGTAAGTTTTTAATTAACAATAAATATTTTTTCTTATTCAATCAATATTCTTATATTTTTTTAGTTTTCCGATAAACCCAGAAGTTAAGGAAAAATGGATTTTGGCGACAGGGAAAAAATTGGTTTCCTTCTAAACATAGCAAAATATGTTCAGCACATTTTCAAGAAAAGGATTTTAATCCTACAAGAAAACGCCGTGTTCTTTTGGATCATGCTTATCCGACTATTCACGTTTGGACAACTTCTGAAAATGTAAGTATCTTCTAAATAAATAAAGTATTTTAGTAAAATACAAACCATCCCGTGGCTCTATTATGCAAAACAGTAAAGCAGCTAAGCGAGCGATACATTTAGATCCGGAAATAATGGAAACTCCCAGAAAACGAAAAATGCAACGTACTATAAACGAAAAGAAAAACATTATAAAAACTCAACGATCGAAAATAAAAAGTTTACAAGGTAAAAACCGGAGATATATAAAATTTCATGGCTATTTATAAAAAACTAATAGTCAAACTAGAATTGAATAATTTTGAAAGCGGTAATTGCATGGCACTTGAAAATATTTCAATTTTGACTTGTTCTTCATCAGTGGAAAAAATGAATAAATCTACTTTATCACCAATGATTGAAGAAAAAATGGAAATAAAGAATATATTAAAGAATTTGATGAAGTTTTGAAAACAGAAAATATCGTGACAGAATTTAGTTTGGAAGTAGTAAGCTACATAGCAGGAAATGTGGTACATTTTTTACTAAACAAAATTAAATGCGAAACTTTCATTTCGGCTCTTTTGAATTCCAGTGCTATTATAGACAATTTTAAATTGATACGATTGAAAGACAAGGTTGGTCTTATTTTTCCTAGCGCGGACGTAAATTTGATTTGTAAAAAAATTGAATCAATTCTTAAAACTTTTACTGTAGATGCTCAATTAGTCAAAAATTGTGAAAAGTTTAAAGAGCAGATAACATCCAGAGCCTTACGTCATTTCATTGAAGTATTCAGAGAAATCGATTTTCATCAATTTGATCAGGGACCAATGGAAAACCATGTAATATGAAAATATGTAACAAAATGTATTATAGAAAGGTATACAGATATTCGCCTTCACCATTTGATGAAAACCACCAAAAAGTATCAAAAAGACAACTTTTAAATAAATATTTGCATTTTACAGACAATAAATAAATAAATATTTCAATAAATATGTTTTTGAAATGATGAAAATGTCTTAATTTTGTTTCTACTTTACTGTATAAGTTTTACTCCTTCTAATTAATTATTTTTTCTACTTTACGTTTTTTATAGCATTAAGTTTATTTCATTAAATTTACGTTTCATATTATATCATTATACTGTTTTATTTTATCACATATTTATTACCTACATTATTCCGTGTCGATATTTTATCGATAGTTTTTTTGTCAAGCACTAGCGTATATGAGTTGAGTGTGTTAACTACCTGCAAGGAGTGGGGAGACTAGCGGCGGCAGTGGTACCGCAAGTAAATTGAAACAAAGGCATTTCTATTCCGCTATATTAGGTGTTCTGTGGTGCTATAATTATACTACTAAATACGTGCAGCATGGCTCTACCACGTAAAACGTTGTTTGTTCGTATTGTTGCGCACCTAAGTTGACGTCATGTTGTGTCAGGGAGAGAGCGGGGGGAACTTTCCAGAAAATGACATCACTAATGTTGCAACCGACAGCGCCATCTAGTGTCGAAACGAAGAACTAAGCTTCTAGAAGCCGACACTCGAACTTTCGACGCCTTGCGCATATTTACTTGAATGTTCTGGATGTTTCGGTGCTAATGTGTATTTATAGGCGCTGGAAGGTGCGATCAGGGAAGTATTGAGTTTGGCGAGACTAGCGAAGCTTCGGAGCGAAATAAAGTGAATCAGTGTGATTAATTATTAGTGTTTTAAGTTTTAATTGGTGTAAAGAAAATTAAAGTGTTAATTTAGGTAATTCTATCGGCAATTTTTATCGTCACAAACCCTAAGCTCGTAACAGTATTTTATGTGCTGCCATACCATTCATCAGATACTTGCACTTGCGCAAATGTTATAGACAGTACAATTAACTTATAGTAGGTGGCGTATCGTACCTACAAATTTATTTGAAAATTATATATCATTCTGTATCGTTATTCATAATTATACCAAATAGTTCTTCCAAATTTAAAACAATATTCGCACAATTATTTCTTCTGGGGCAGTAACGCGCCGGGTACCTGCTATTTTAAAAATAATATTAGGACAGAGTAAGTATTATATAAAATTTATAATCAAAAGTTGGCCATAGTCACGATTAACCATAACATCAGAAAATTGAATATTTCACTTCACACTCGCAAAGCGTTCAAAACATGAAAAATACAAAAATAAATTAATTTAATGCTTGCAAGACACAAAATATTTGCATAACAAACTATCTATAGAAGTCCTCTGTGTTACCGTTACTGTTACAGCCTATTTAAGTCCACTGCTGAACATTGGCCTCCCTCATAGATTGTCTCATGCGGGGATATTTGCCATAGTTGCCATGTATGGTAAGCGGGCTTTTTTATTTTTAGTCGTTATTAGGAAGATGCTGCTGCCCATCTTCTGATTTGTGTTACCCTCTGTCGCCTCTTACGACACTTACGATAAATGATGAATTAAACGCCATAAAATACATAAAAAATAGATAAAAGTGATTCATTAATTCTAAATTCCACAGTTCTGTTAACAGTTTTTACACTCACCGTATAGTCAAAAACTTGTATCTGGTGACTGCTTGTTCCACAGTAAACTTTTCCATCTTCATACAGCAGCGTGTAAACGGTCATTTTCGGTCCTGTTAATGTTCGCAGGAGGAGACCTGTTTGTGCGTCCTTTATAGTTACATTCTCCGACCGAGCAGCCACTAAGAGTACTTTTCGAGGGCCTTCTTTCATGGCACGCAGTGCCAATATCGACTGGTCCGAGAATTTAACTGTACTGACCGGTATTAATATATTATTCTGAAAAAGAAAATGGATCTCAAATTATTTTAAAAAATTGGAATGAGTTGAGAGATAATGAAACAAGCTAAATCGGTGTATCACAATTAACCTGATCGCTCTAATGACCCCATACATTTGAAATTACATTTAACCCTTCAAGCGCCGTAAAAATCCTATGCAGTCGCATGCACTCGGCAAATCCCGAGCGGTCGCATGCGACCGGACCCACCCACAGCACTTAAAACCATTAATACTTATATTTAGAGACTACTTTTCTATGAAGAAGTTTGGCATTATAAAATCTATACAAAATTCTCTATCCTATAGTCTAAATAAAAGTCAGTTTTTACTTCATTACAAAAATATATAAAACATAATACAAAAGTAATACGATAACAAAACATAATAACGAATATAAAAAACATTATACTAAAACACTTGAAAAATCAAAAAAATCAACACAATAACATTCACGCGAAAATGGCGTACGAAATGAACGTAGATTATAAATAAATATACATAAAATAACAGTTTTTTTATTGCACTAGAGGATAAAAAATTTCATATTGATTATATAATGCCAAACTTCTTTATAGGAAAGTAGTCTCTATAAATAAGTTTTTATGGGTTAAAGTGCTGTGGGTGGGTGCGACCTCACGAGGCCGCTAGGGATTTGACGGAATATGGCCACGGTCTCATGAGACCGCTAGGGGCTTGAGAGGTCAAATTACAATTTGAAACACTTTTTTCCGCATGGTCTCCAGATACTTCAGACGGCTTTTTGTAACTATTCCAAGCCGGTGCTTTTAAATTAATGTCAAAAATACTTAAGCATTAACTTTTAGAAGATTATTTTATAAAAAAAATGCATGAATTTTGTCAGCATCTATTTCATTTGCAAATGACGTCATAAATTGCGCTAAATAAAGTGAGGCCAATATCCAGTGATATAAAAAATTATATTGTGATTAATTTTTTCGATTCTTACTTTACTCGATTTTGAATTAAATTAATTAACAATAACCCTTACATTGCTACTTTACGACGGAATATTTTCCTAAAGTAACTGTACAGGTACTGTAAGGTTGTACTTAAAAGCTTCAATATTATATTTGTGTTGATCCTTTTGTCCTTCCTTTAATTGCGTCAAATTGGAATAAATAAAATCAATAGAACTCTAGCCAGTATAACAGGCCACATGAAATAGTTTATTTATTATTACAGCTATATACTTATTTTCATTTCAAATGTGTCAGTAGTTGTATAAATATAAATATAATATTAAATATAACCAGCATTATTAATTGTAAGTAGGGAGAGTATGTACATCTATATATAGATTAAATGCTCATAATCGACAGTTCTTAACAAATCACCTAACTGTAAAAACATGTCTCATTACAACACTCCTATTTACTCACCCTATATATATATATATATATATATATATATATATATACAGCGTGAGTCCCAAAATTCAACGATAAGCCAACACCGGAGGATAGGCCTGCCCTGGACAAATCGGGGAAAAAAGAAAAAAAAATATATCCCAATTATATTTTAAGTTATATAAAAAAAATGAAATTTTTCAGAAATTGAGACCGTTTATATATTTTTCACTACCATGACCACAATTTTTTTAATATTTTTTCCTTTTTTTTTATAGGCAACCTGAATAGTACTGCTATCTACCACAATTCTTAAAAACTCCAGAATAACTCCTGTTTTATCACGAAAATTAATGAAACTTATTTTATTCCCTAATTTTTTTGAAGACTTTTACTTTTAACCAACTTTAACTTATCGTGGTGTAAAAAAAAAGTATGAACACTAGTATGGCAAGTTTTTTTTAAAAATTGACGCAACTAACCAACATTCCAAAATGGTATAATACTCTAGGAAAATAAGTTATAAAAAAATATGGGCCTATTATTTCTTAACAGGGGCCAAATGACGGTCGGGTGTAATAAAAGTATTAGTTCTTGAAAAATGTTTAATATTTCAAAACAAATGGTACAAACAGTTTCACATGTAATTTATTAAGTTATTGACATTATAGCAAATGTTTTGAAGATCACTTAAGGGCACGTCGTTTAACAATTCTTGCAAGTAATTTTGTAAGAAGTTTAAATAACTATTGCCATCTAAGTTTCCTTGTAACTCAAAGGGCCCAATTACTTTTTCATTTAATATGCCGGTCAGGTTTTCATTTAAGAGCCGTGGTAGCTCAGTTGGTTAACGCTCGCTGTAAATATAACAGAACGCGAGTAACCCGGGTTCGATCCCCGCCGGCACCAATGAAATTGTTAATTGCAATTTTAAGTGCTGATTTACCACGTGCTCGGCGGTGAAGGAAAACATCGTGAGGAAACCTGCATGTCTGAGGAATAAGAAAAAAAATATTTCGAAGACATGTGAAGTTCGTCAACACGCATTTGGGCAGCGCGGCGGACACTTCCTTGCCCTAAACTCTCTCAGAAATGAGGGGGAGGCCTAAGCCCAGTAGTGGGACGTATATAAGCTGTAACTTTACTTTACTTTATGCCGGTCCATAGGTTAACCTTGAATTGATATTGGGATTTGTCTTGTCTCATCAAGTGTGGATTTTCATTACTCCAACTATGTAGGTTATGAATATTTAAATACCCATCTTTCTTGCATGTTGTTTCATCCGACCATAGAATTTTGTCTAGGAATTGGGGATCTTCACTGTGCCTTTGCAGCATTACACGGCAAAATGTGACTCGTAGCGGATAGTCCCGCGGTAATAACACCTGTAGTGATATGGATGAAGCTTGTGACGTTTTAATATTCGATGTGCAGAACTTTTCGGGATTCCTGTAGCTTCTTCTATGGCACGTACCGAAGTAGTCAAATCATTTTCTATCTCATTAGAAATCAATCTAGGTCTTCCAGCGCTTCTCCTATTGGATGGCATACGACCCTCCGAAAACGCTCGATGCACATTAAATAAACACTCGATAATCAGGATATTTTTGAGCATTTGGGTATCTTTCTCGATACAGTCTGCTAGCAGCGTTAGCATTACATCGGCATTCTCCATAGATTAAATGCATATTAGCGTATTTCTGTGGTGTGTACGGTTGCGGCATGTTAAACGCCAAACAGTCCAAAATGCGCCAGAACTCTAAATCACAAAACACACAATCGTAGTCCAAGATAATGCCAGGTCAGTTTAGTTTGCAGATCACTTCCAGTCCAAATAATGCCAGGTCAGTTAAGTTTGCAGGTCGATTCCAGTCCAAAAAGCCAAGCCAAAAGTCGATAGTATGTACGAGAGCCACATAAGTTGAATTGGGAACGGTGCGCAGTAAACAAAGGAGCAGAGCGTACTGAACTGACTTCCTGAGAATAACAGCTTCTCTACCTGCCCTGTTGTTGTCTCTTTTTAACGTAAATATCTCTATCTATCTATCTCTCTCTAACATCTAAGGTATTAATGCCCCATTCAAATTCCTAGAAATTGTAACAAGAACCCATTTTGGGCATGTAGTAAAATTGATTACTGACAATTACAATTTAAGGAATTTGGCCCCTGTTTAGAAATAATAGGCCCATATTTTTTTATAACTTGTTTTCCTAGAGTATTATACCATTTTAGAATGTTGGTTAGTTGCGTCAATCAATTTTTAAAAAAACTTGCCATACTAGTGTTCATACTTTTTTTTACACCACGATAAGTTAAATTTGGTTAAAAGTAAAAGTCTTCAAAAAATTTAGGGAATAAAATAAGTTTCATTAATTTTCGTGATAAAACAAGAGTTATTCTGGAGTTTTTAAGAATTGTGGTAGATAGTAGTACTATTCAGGTTGCCTATAAAAAAAAAGAAAAAAATATTTAAAAAATTGTGGTCATGGTAGTGAAAAATATCATAAACGGTCTCAATTTCTGAAGAATTTCATTTTTTTTATATAACTTAAAATATAATTGGGATATATATTTTTTTCTTTTTTTCCCCGATTAGTCCGGGGCAGGTCTATCCTCCGGTGTTGGCTTATCGTTGAATTTTGGGACACGTTGTATATATATATATACCATATACCAAATGTTCTGTGAATATTACAGCAAGATTAGTGCTCAAGTTTATAAAGTATTTGAAATAGTTAAGTTTCTTTTATTATGTAATAATAAGACTTGATTACTTACTTTACATTCAAACTGCAGAACAAATCCAGTCCTGGTCCCAACAAATATTGTGTCCCAAGCCCGATCCATTGTCTGTATTGGGCTTAGAACATTACATTCCGGTCCCCTTTCCAAGCCCGTCTGGAAAAATAAATATTTTCATTTATATCTATCTATCAATTATAGTGAAATAAAGGACTCTTATCCTGCATTCTAAATAAATAGCTTTATTTAGAAAACAGGATGTTTTTTTGAATACAACATGACAATATTGCAGGTTCATCCATGGTCAGTCGGAAAAAATATAGTTTCTTACAATTTTTCAGCACCATTGTGATAAAAATATTTTCAATGGTATCCACTCCTGCCAAAAGTTAAGAAAATTTTTCTCAACTACGGGAAAAGCCCATCTCTAGCAGTTCAGATTTTATTTATTCATATTATAGTGCAACAACAATAAAATGTGGTAGAGCCACACTGCAGCTATATTAGGGTTCTCTAGCAGTTCAGATTTTATATATTCATATTATAGTGCAACAACAATAAAATGTGGTAGAGCCACACTGCAGCTATATTAGGGTTCTCTAGCAGTTCAGATTTTATATATTCATATTATAGTGCAACAACAATAAAATGTGGTAGAGCCACACTGCAGCTATATTAGGGTTCTCTAGCAGTTCAGATTTTATTTATTCATATTATAGTGCAACAACAATAAAATGTGGTAGAGCCACACTGCAGCTATATTAGGGTTCTCTAGCAGTTCAGATTTTATATATTCATATTATAGTGCAACAACAATAAAATGTGGTAGAGCCACACTGCAGCTATATTAGGGTTCTCTAGCAGTTCAGATTTTATATATTCATATTATAGTGCAACAACAATAAAATGTGGTAGAGCCACACTGCAGCTATATTAGGGTTCTCTAGCAGTTCAGATTTTATATATTCATATTATAGTGCAACAACAATAAAATGTGGTAGAGCCACACTGCAGCTATATTAGGGTTCTCTAGCAGTTCAGATTTTATATATTCATATTATAGTGCAACAACAATAAAATGTGGTAGAGCCACACTGCAGCTATATTAGGGTTCTCTAGCAGTTCAGATTTTATTTATTCATATTATAGTGCAACAACAATAAAATGTGGTAGAGCCACACTGCAGCTATATTAGGGTTCTCTAGCAGTTCAGATTTTATTTATTCATATTATAGTGCAACAACAATAAAATGTGGTAGAGCCACACTGCAGCTATATTAGGGTTCTCTAGCAGTTCAGATTTTATATATTCATATTATAGTGCAACAACAATAAAATGTGGTAGAGCCACACTGCAGCTATATTAGGGTTCTCTAGCAGTTCAGATTTTATTTATTCATATTATAGTGCAACAACAATAAAATGTGGTAGAGCCACACTGCAGCTATATTAGGGTTCTCGAGCAGTTCAGATTTTATATATTCATATTATAGTGCAACAACAATAAAATGTGGTAGAGCCACACTGCAGCTATATTAGGGTTCTCTAGCAGTTCAGATTTTATTTATTCATATTATAGTGCACAACAATAAAATGTGGTAGAGCCACACTGCAGCTATATTAGGGTTCTCTAGCAGTTCAGATTTTATATATTCATATTATAGTGCAACAACAATAAAATGTGGTAGAGCCACACTGCAGCTATATTAGGGTTCTCTAGCAGTTCAGATTTTATTTATTCATATTATAGTGCAACAACAATAAAATGTGGTAGAGACACACTGCAGCTATATTAGGGTTCTCTAGCAGTTCAGATTTTATTTATTCATATTATAGTGCAACAACAATAAAATGTGGTAGAGCCACACTGCAGCTATATTAGGGTTCTCTAGCAGTTCAGATTTTATATATTCATATTATAGTGCAACAACAATAAAATGTGGTAGAGCCACACTGCAGCTATATTAGGGTTCTCTAGCAGTTCAGATTTTATATATTCATATTATAGTGCAACAATAAAATGTGGTAGAGCCACACTGCAGCTATATTAGGGTTCTCTAGCAGTTCAGATTTTATTTATTCATATTATAGTGCAACAACAATAAAATGTGGTAGAGCCACACTGCAGCTATATTAGGGTTCTCTAGCAGTTCAGATTTTATTTATTCATATTATAGTGCAACAACAATAAAATGTGGTAGAGCCACACTGCAGCTATATTAGGGTTCTCTAGCAGTTCAGATTTTATATATTCATATTATAGTGCAACAACAATAAAATGTGGTAGAGCCACACTGCAGCTATATTAGGGTTCTCTAGCAGTTCAGATTTTATATATTCATATTATAGTGCAACAACAATAAAATGTGGTAGAGCCACACTGCAGCTATATTAGGGTTCTCTAGCAGTTCAGATTTTATATATTCATATTATAGTGCAACAACAATAAAATGTGGTAGAGCCACACTGCAGCTATATTAGGGTTCTCTAGCAGTTCAGATTTTATATATTCATATTATAGTGCAACAACAATAAAATGTGGTAGAGCCACACTGCAGCTATATTAGGGTTCTCTAGCAGTTCAGATTTTATATATTCATATTATAGTGCAACAACAATAAAATGTGGTAGAGCCACACTGCAGCTATATTAGGGTTCTCTAGCAGTTCAGATTTTATATATTCATATTATAGTGCAACAACAATAAAATGTGGTAGAGCCACACTGCAGCTATATTAGGGTTCTCTAGCAGTTCAGATTTTATTTATTCATATTATAGTGCAACAACAATAAAATGTGGTAGAGCCACACTGCAGCTATATTAGGGTTCTCTAGCAGTTCAGATTTTATTTATTCATATTATAGTGCAACAACAATAAAATGTGGTAGAGCCACACTGCAGCTATATTAGGGTTCTCTAGCAGTTCAGATTTTATATATTCATATTATAGTGCAACAACAATAAAATGTGGTAGAGCCACACTGCAGCTATATTAGGGTTCTCTAGCAGTTCAGATTTTATTTATTCATATTATAGTGAAACAACAATAAAATGTGGTAGAGCCACACTGCAGCTATATTAGGGTTCTCTAGCAGTTCAGATTTTATATATTCATATTATAGTGTAACAACAATAAAATGTGGTAGAGCCACACTGCAGCTATATTAGGGTTCTCTAGCAGTTCAGATTTTATTTATTCATATTATAGTGTACAACAATAAAATGTGGTAGAGCCACACTGCAGCTATATTAGGGTTCTCTAGCAGTTCAGATTTTTTTATTCATATTATAGTGCAACAACAATAAAATGTGGTAGAGCCACACTGCAGCTATATTAGGGTTCTCTAGCAGTTCAGATTTTATATATTCATATTATAGTGCAACAACAATAAAATGTGGTAGAGCCACACTGCAGCTATATTAGGGTTCTCTAGCAGTTCAGATTTTATATATTCATATTATAGTGCAACAACAATAAAATGTGGTAGAGCCACACTGCAGCTATATTAGGGTTCTCTAGCAGTTCAGATTTTTTTTATTCATATTATAGTGCAACAACAATAAAATGTGGTAGAGCCACACTGCAGCTATATTAGGGTTCTCTAGCAGTTCAGATTTTATTTATTCATATTATAGTGCAACAACAATAAAATGTGGTAGAGCCACACTGCAGCTATATTAGGGTTCTCTAGCAGTTCAGATTTTATATATTCATATTATAGTGCAACAACAATAAAATGTGGTAGAGCCACACTGCAGCTATATTAGGGTTCTCTAGCAGTTCAGATTTTATATATTCATATTATAGTGCAACAACAATAAAATGTGGTAGAGCCACACTGCAGCTATATTAGGGTTCTCTAGCAGTTCAGATTTTATATATTCATATTATAGTGCAACAACAGTAAAATGTGGTAGAGCCACACTGCAGCTATATTAGGGTTGCTGCAAAAATGGGTCGCCTTGACTGAAGAATGACTACACTCTCACAGAATTCTAGCATAAAATAGTAGCTTCATGCTGCTGTATTTCATATAGTAAGTGTAGAGAAACGGAGACACCTTTTTACTGGCATTCAATTGTAGTCTTCAAGAGTGACAACACATCTACATTTTGATTCTTAATTAAAGAGGTTTGATTGATTCTTAATTAAATTAAAGAGGATAGATGTAGATGTCTATGAGCCACAGCATCCACTTACCATCAGGTGATTGTTTGTAACCTCTGTTCTATATAAAAATCCAATATAATAAATTTGGCATCCACAAGTTACATGAGAGTAAAGAAACAAACTGATATGTGTTGTATGTATGTGAGGGCTATTTATCTAACGTTCACCAGATGTCTGGACTGAGTTGGAATTATTTTTTAACACAATGTCATTATAATTAAGAAGTCGAAGTGTTTTAAATAAAAGTTTATCAGTTTCTAGAGTATGACAATACATAAAACAATGCTTTAGTGGTTTTTCCTATAAGTTTTTACACATATTAAAAAATGACATTTTTCTATTTTAGTGTAGTTTTTCTATTTCTAATCTAATTAATATAAAATATACATAACTAATATTTCAGAAAGAAACATTAACCCTTACAATTTCCCAACAAATTAATTTTCCCGCCATCAAATCTGTCGAATATTTCACCCCATTTACATGTAGCGTCGCATAGGTGGCAAAAAAAGTCGTGGATGCCCTCGTTAAATAATCAAGCCCCATTACAAAAAGCAGCATCAAAATGTAATGTATGGGTCCTCTAATACAATCGCCAATAAACATGTCACACATGTCCATTAACCCTTCTAAGGGATTTGATCTTGTTTCTTATGAAGTACTTTGGAATATGCTTAGGACATGGGTATTTCTTTTGAAGTCATTGGCTTTTTATTACTTTTTGATTTACAGTCCAAGCTGACGGTAAGTGGTTTTTGTAGTCTATGGACACCTGCAGCTAACTTTAAACAAAAGAAAGCTATGGTTGCTTCATTTTTGAGGATTGTGATATTCAATTAATACCTCACAGCCGATGGATTGTACCGACACTTTTTCCTTTTAAACCATTAGGGACTTAAGATTAATATAGTTATGATAAATAATTAAAAACTTTATTACCTCCAAATCATAATATCGTATCCTAGAATCTAGGGAACCCGTGTATACAGTTGTTTCATATTTCTCCTTGACAATTGTAAGACATGTCACAGCTAAATTCGATCCTCTAAGAGTATTAATAAGTTGGCCATCACCACTGAAGTAATAAACATTGCCATCCAGACAGGCCGCTATAAAGTTGTTGTCTATACACTGAAAATTATGTAACAATATTGATATTATACAATAAAACGCATTGTGAAATAATTAAAATATAATCATATCATGATAGAAAGCATAAGTAATTAATATAAAAAATAGGGTTGTCAACTTTTTAATGCCAAAAATAGATAGCATTTTAAAGGCATCATCAATAATATTTAAAAATATAGTAGATAGTAAAAAAAATATAAAAAAAAACCATTACATGATATTTCAAATTAATATCTGAATTTTATCTTATTTAGGAATTTTGTGTTTTATTAACATTCTTTGTCATAAGTCAGCCTTTATTACAATATAGTAGTTTCAACTACTATAATTATTTTAGAATTAATAGTATTTGAACACCTAATATAGCAGGATAGTAAATTTAATTAGTGATAGGACTCAAGTGAGATTTTTTCACTTGAGTCGCTCGCCAGTAATATATATATAACCTAGTCACTCGAGTGCCACTCGAATGAAGATAAAAGTCGAGTGACTTTTTTTCCAATCGAATTACTCTTACTTACTTATCTTCACGCACAATCCCTAACGGGGTAGCCAGAGAGAACAGATCGCCAAGTGTCACGATCCTTACATACCTCTTTCGCTTCTTTCAGGTTCATTAACTTCTTCATACATGCACGTCTAGGTATCCGAGTACTCTTGACCCTCCCCTCTTCGAGCAATTTGCTCACATGGTCTTCGAAAGTTAGTCTCGGTCTACCTCGACACCTTTTAATATTTACTTTCGCTCTATATATTTTCTTCACCATTCGGTCTTCACTCATTCGTTCAACGTGCCCAAACCATTGGAGTACGCCCCTATCAATTTTTGTGATAAGGTCATCTTTCAATCCTGCCATATTGCGAATCTCTTCGTTTCGCTTTCGGTCGGCTATTGTACAGACATTTTACGAAGAGATCGCATCTCACTGCATTCAACTTGCTTTTATGCTTCTTCTGGCATACCCAGGTTTCGCTGCCATATAACAAAGTCGGTACCAACACTGCATTATGTATTGCAAGGCGTGCACTCTTCACCACGCCTTGCCTTTTTACTAATGCATTCAGGGCACCATTGACTTTGTTTCCGGCAGCGACACGCCTATCCACATCTAAATCACATCTTCCATCCCGGCTGAAAGCACTCCCCAAGTATACAATTTCATTTACCTGTTCTAGACATTCCTGATTTACCCATACCATACCACCATACCCACCCATCGAATTACTCGCCTATCAAAAACCAATAAATCCTTTGTTTTTCACAATTTGTAAGGTTTGTAAGTCTTGAAAAATCATTTTGATTAGAGCTAAAGATTTTTTTGTTTCTGCTTAGTAACCAATGCATTAGGCCTTGCAAGCTGTAGTTGCTAAAAACGCAGTTTATTTGATGTAAAATTGGAATCAGAAGTAAAACTTTGACCTTCACTAGTAGAAGATCACATGAGGTGAAATTGATTCATTCATAATATCCTTCGAAATCTGATGTTAATTCTTAATATTATGAGAAATCAAGTTAGTAATACATAGGTCACTCAATAAGTTTTGATATGCTCGAAATTTAAAAATGGAACGCACACGTGTTTGTTATATGTTTCTAAAAAGCAAATTTATTTGAAAATAGAACTCCATAAGCCAATTGCTCAATATAAAAAAAGTTCTATTAATTTTCCTGCTTTTTATTTAAAATGATGGATCTTAATAGTGAATATTTGCGCGCTATGATCTATTATGATTTTAAATTTGGTTTAACCGAACACTTAAGTTTACAATGGTTACAATCATCATTAGGGGACTCAGCTCCATCCACACACAACAATTTTTAGGTGGTTTGCTGAATTCAATAGTGGTAAAATTAACCTTCAAAATGACCTTAGAACCGAGGCCTCGCAAACAGCAGTAACGGCAGAAAATGTATGGACTACTGAAATGTTGGTGCGATAAGACCCACAAATCAAATATACGGATATCGAAAAGATTGTAGGCATTAGTTCGGGGAGCATTCAAACCATCCTACATCAACATCTTGGAGTGAGAAAGCTTTGTTGTCGATGGATCCCTCGTTTGCTCTCCGAAAGCGAAAAACAGACTCATGTGGATTGGTGCCATGAAGTGCGTCTACGTTTAGAAAATGGGGCATCTAGGCGTTTTTCAGAAATGGTTACTGGTGACGAGACATGGATCTATCTATATGATCTGGAAAATAAAAGGTAATCGTCGGTATGAGTCTACTCAGAAGGACAGTTACCGACAAAACTGCAAAGACCTCGCAATGTTGGCAAAAAAATAGTGGCTAGTTATTTTTCGTGGAGAGGACATTTGTCGACGTCAATGCTGGAAAATTGTAGCGTAGTACACCATTCAAAGTTGACTGACCTACAATTTAAAAAAAAAACCCCACACTATACCTTTTTTGGAACTCTCACTAATTTCGAACACATACTAATAGCAAAAAGTCTTAAGTAAACATATTACTAAATACAAACAACTCACTCAAAGAAATTTGTACTTAATTTCATATAAAAGATACATCGGCTAAACTTGTCTTAACTTGAATTTCTCACTCTAGTCAGTACAGGCCACTAGAGTGATCCGAGTCACTCGAGTTGACTGGAGTCATTCGTAATCCAAGTGGTAATATTGCTCGAGCGAGACTAAATTTAATTAATTGAGACTTACGAATAATAAAGAAATACTTTTATTATGTTGTTTTTTATTGGTGTAAAAAGTGTTGATGCATAGAATTATAATAAAAATCAGAAGCATTTTAAAGGAAAAATATCAATTATGAATTTTATCAGCACACACAACACTTTATTTTTTAAGTTCATAGCAAATTAGCTTAATTAGCCTTTCTTTTAACAGTTTAGCTTTTTTACTAAACGGCGCCGTTCAATTAGCGGCCTGAATAATATTCAGCCGATGTGTCTAATACAATATCTAACATCTAAAGAAAATAAGTTATAATATCAGTGACGGTAGGTTAAGGTGCAGCTGGGGTGGTCTTAGTGCCATGCTAAAGCTGTATACATTTATATTATATAGCACATAGCGAATAATAAGGCACAAGCCATGTGCCAATGTCTAAGTTGTTGACTGAAAAGCTTATTAAGCTAGTTGGCTGCGATATAATATGTCCCATTCATATTATATACAATAGAATTATAAAAACAAAATATTTGGTTTTTATAATTATCATGTATATTCCTATATATATATATATATATATATATATATATATATATATATATATATATATATATATGTATAATATACATGATAATTATAAAAACCAAATATTAAGAGATTAGACAACACACAAAATACACAGCATTACTTCAAAATAGCATTTTGATTCATGTACTATGACATTAAAACATAATACTTACTTCAATTGCTAGAACAGCATCTGCATTTCCGGTGACTGTAATTGAATCTCGACGTAGATTTTCATCAGCAGAATAATCATACATTTTGCATTCATTATCTCCAGATAAAACCTGAGGAGCTATAATATCTTCATATGATGACTGACTGTTATCAAGTATAATTTCCTCACTTATTGGTACATCAATAATTTCTAGTTCTTTATCTTGGAGTGACTTTATTTCACAATTATCCCCAATTACTATATCTTCTGACACATCCAACATATCAAACTGTACATCATTAATAACACTATTCTCTTTTTCTGTAATATCTATCTCAACAATATTTTCTTGCTCTGCAGTTTCAAATAGAGATTCTTGGTATTCAATAGGTGGTATAGTATTTTGTAATAGTATTTTGCTTAAATCTTCTCTTATTAACACTACTGAACATTCTTTCAATTCAAATGTTGTACCGAGTGTATTCATAGGTTTTGTCTTCTTAGTAGCTTTTTTCTTTGACCGTTGTACCTTTGGTCTTCTCGTTTTTATTGGTTTTTCATAATCGTCTAGTGCTATTATGTCTTCCAATGGTCTATCATCTGTGATTATTTGCTCTATAAGAGAAATATTTGGCGTTCTGCTTTTCCGACCATTTTTCTTTACCATGGCAGCTTTAGGACTTATAGAACTTTTTCTTTCTTCTTCTAATACTGTATTACGCCGGCTACGTTTTTCAACTTCAAAATTTTCATTCCTCTCTGCTTCTACAGTTTCAAATGCTATTTGCTCAAGATCTTCCACAGGGATATTTGTGAAATCATCAGCTATTGCATCACTTGATATAGAATCAACTTCTATAATTCCTTCTTTAACATCTTCATCCAATGGAGTCACATTCAGTACAGTCATTCCAAGTGTTTGAAGAGAGTTTTGACTTGAATCTTTATTTTCCAATGAACTGTACAATTTAAATTTTTCTTGCAATAAAACCTGGATTTCTAAATCAATTTCTTTCATTCTTTCAAAAGCATCCGTGGAACGTGAGTTTGACTTTTCAAAATACACGGGATCTGTCTGAACTGCCTGGACACACAATTTTCCTTTTTCTGTTTGACAAAATCTTGTACAAAAAGTTTTAGTCTCAACTGTTTGAGTTTCTTTTGTTACAAGTTTGTTTAAAACTTGTGTTGCTATGTGCCGTCTACTTTTACGATTTGAACCCCGTTTTAAGTTTTTTTTCTTTTTATCTATGTTAGTTTTTGTGTTTTTTGTGCCTGGTATAACAACAGTATTTCTGTGAGCATGATGGATCAATTTCTTTGGTTTTTCCACAAACATGTCTATTGTTTTCAGTGTATTCTTAACTTCAATTTTAGTTGTAGTTTGGTTATTAGTATTAGCAGCATTTTCTTTCAGATTAAAATTGGAATGACTGGGTGAATCAGAGTTATGCTTTTTCTTAGGTTCACTGCTTCTTTCTCTTGTTTTCTTTTCAATATCTTTCCGCTTAACATACTTATCTGAATATTCCTTGTCAACTACTTCTGTTTTTATTGTTTCTTTTGATATATCTCTTATTTTAGAGTCTCCTTCATCTTTAGATAAACGTAGGTTAAAGATGGATTTTGCAGTATCACATTTTTCAGATGGGTTTGAAGTGCAGTCATTAACATTTATAATAACATCTTTATTCAATATTTGTTTACTTGAATCAGTTGGAGTGAAATCTATTTTTTTACGTTTCTCTTTACGATGAGAAGATTGTTGATCAATAGCTCTTTTGCGTGAATTTGATGAAGCTAATGATTTTGGCATAACACAAGAGTTTTGTGATTTATCTGTTCTGTTGTCTTCCGGTATAGGTATTTTGTCAATATTCATAGTGTTTGTTGTATTCATGTTTTCGATTAATCCTGGTTCATTTTTAATATTAATTCCTTTATTTTCACTTTCATTAAAATTGTCTTTCTTGTTGATATTTGATGATAATTTCAATGGTGATTTGGCAATATCAAGAATTTGACTATCAATTTCCTGTTTTATACTGATTGAACCCTTTTGTGGAGTTTTAAGTCTATTTAGCTCCATATCAGTATCACCAATCGTCAGTGATTTAGATGTAATGGTTTTTTGTATTTGCTGTGTGCTGGATATATCCTCATTGTCAATAAAATTATGATCTACATCAACATGATACTGGTTATCTAATTCAGCAAAAGGATCTTCATCATCAGAAATCTGTTCCGTAATAGGGTCAAACAATTCAGAAGGATCACTTCTATTTTGGTATATATCCTCATTTGATTTATAATCATGATTACTTCCAGTATACTGGTTTTCCAACGCTCTTTCTTCATTATAATTATAGCTTTTTGATCTTGATCTTCTTTCAAAGAGAGGTTTAGACTGAACATCATCATTGGGTTGATTATTATCATATTTATCACGGATTTCACCAATAACATTTGTGTCAGATTGTTTGAAATTAGTTTGGGATGGATGCTGTTCAGCAAAATCACTTTCGATATATTCTTCTGGGTAATTGCTTAATTCATAATTACCAAACGCTGAGTGATATTGATCATAATTTGAATGTGTTTCACTATGATGACCAGTGCTTTCGCCTTCTACAAATTGCTGCTCGATGTTATCCAGTTGCAGCACCTTAGAAAGTTCAGCCATAACAATTGGTTTGATATCTTCAAGTAACACTGTGTCTTGAGGATCTAACAAGCACTGCATTTGCTTCAAAAATGTGTCTTCATAAATAGTATTATTGTCATTTTGCATAAAGTCAGTACTGGAACTACACAGTGATTTTTCAGCAACTGACCTCAAATGGCGATTAAAGCTATTTTGAGACTCAGTTATCAGACTGCTAATAGCATACTCAAATTTAGAAGAAGAATTAGGATTGTCCATCAGTTTATGAATTTTCTCCTTATCCATTTTAAATAACTGATGAAATATTTTGTTTTTTATTTTATCACAATTTGTTTTGTTTTTCTGTTTTTGTCTTTGTATCCTTCTTTTGGTAGGTTGCTCTTGCTGTGAATTATCATGATAATTGGTCACAGAATTCTCCCTATGCAAGTTATTAGAAAATTTTTCCATTCTTGCATTATCCGATACATGGTGGGATTCATTTCTATCCAATAATCTTTTCCTAACAATATTAACAGTATCATCAACTGACCTGCTAAATGTATTTGAATTATCAATTGATGGAGTTGGATTGCCACCATAATGGTCAGATGAAGGTGGCCGATGTCCTGGATAATCAAGTATGGGCAATTTATTTTGTTCTTCATGACACCTATAAGACTTGTTTTGATTTTTATTATCATACGGAGGTATTTTATGCTCTGCAGGAGGAATCCAAGAGGTAACTGGCTGCTGCCTAAATGATAGACAATTTTGTTTAACATTGGTCTGTCTATGATCAACATCTCCATGACTATTAACAATAAACCCATCATTCTGCTTAGTACTAACATAGTAATTGGATTCTTTATAAGTGTTGGTACGACTAGTCATATCATTATGTTTGAAGTGTTGCAAATGTGGGAAGATTTCCCTCTCACTATGCTTTTCGTAGGGTTTATTTTGATTTTTCCTGTTGTCAAATCTAAATTTGTTTCTGTTTTGTTCTGTATTGTGTTCAACCATATGATCTGGTCTTGACACAAATGGCGGTGGTCTATGTAAAGGGGGTGGCGGGAATCTGAAAATATAAGGTGTACAAATAACATATTATGAATAATTTTTATTTTTATTCAAATTAAAAATTATTTATGGGTTATATACAATAGCAAATGTCATTATACGCAAATAAGAACTATGTGATCCACCCATCAGAGTATACAAATTAAAATAATTAAAAACAAGATTTTCTACAGAAAATAATTAAACATTTTTCATTTAATATAGACTTTGAATACTTAATTCCTATTCATTTTTCACTTTCACTTTTACCACTAGTTCAGTGTAAAGCCTGTGTCCTGGGAAAAACCAACGAGACACCCAGAAGGATTTATTATTGACAGTAAAATTATTTAATATAAGATAAAGGCTACATATTTACTTATAAAACTTATTTCAAAAAATGCTTCGAAGTGTTCATTAATATTATAATTGTGTGGTGTTGGCCACCACACAATTATAATAAAACTGACTCTGTGGAGTCAAGTACCTAACTTGTGTTATTTCTACTTTGTTTTTTATTATATCTACTTTTGTTGACATGAATATACATAAAATTTTTGCAAACATACTGAGTAATTAAGTTAATATTATTTCTTAATATAATTCAGTTTAGGTAATAAATGGTTCTTATGGCCCTCTTCTGCAAAACGAAAATACAAAAAAGACCCTTTTATGAAGTTTTTTTAATTTTTTATAAAAATAAAAAAAAAAAAAATTAGATAGAAGAGAAAAAAATACACCAAATTTCTAAATCAGTCTCATTTTCCCACATCATAATTTCATAAGACATAATGCTATGGAAATAACAAAAAGCATATGCTTAGAGCTGTCTCAATACTAGTGAGACTGCTAATGATTTTTACAGCTTAAGCTGCAGAGCTGAGACTGCTTGTTAGTTTAAATAAGCTATGGAAGGCCCACTGAAGTTTTGCATTGAAAGTAATACCAAGAAACATTGACAAGGCTCAATAATTCTTCCCCAACTATAAAAACACATTGGTCTTTAATTTTTAGCATTCTGTGTTGTAAATACTATACACTTATTTTTGGTGCCGTTTAAATGTAAATTGTTAAGGTTAATGTTAAATAATAAAGTTATAATACTGTTTTTGGAATTGGAGGCAAAATAATACCTGACAAATTAAACGCCAACTAATTTTTAAAAGAATAAAAAGTAAGATTCAGCTATGACTGTGTTGTTTCTTGTTTTATTTTTACCTGTGTGCATCTAGCAGTGGGTAGCTCCTAGGCCTAAAATGCGGATTCCCTCCTCCTCGAGACCTAAAATGCCTTGTGTTTTCACTTCGCCATCCACCAATGCCTTTATGACCTCGCCTCATAATGTCACTGTTAATGCATATTACACATCAGTAATAAAAAAATAAAACTTGATTTCAACTAATAAATAAGTTATATATAATATAACTTTTAGCGCTTAGAGTTGGTAAATTTAGTCAAATAAACAAGTTTGATCAATCGTCCCCGGAATAAAAACACGACACAGACAAAATATATATCTGACATTAGCTGATTAAAGTTGCCCAGTCTATGATTAACGTTTAGAAAAGATAAACACCACAAGTAGATTATTCCAATCCAATTTTTTGTTTATGTATCATTAAGTAAGAAACATTAGACAATATTTATATATTCATTTATTTATTTATTCAAAAAACCAACAGCTTTTAACAAAATAAATTTGCATCAAATCGGCTTACCTTAACATTTAGCTTATTATAGGTTTCCTTATATTTTCTATAGGTAGTTATTTAATAAAAGAGCGACGCTTGAGTTTTTTTTGGCGGGAACTTGACCGTCGGTGGAATGGTTGCTCAAAAATTAGAGTGTTATTAAGGTATATAATAAACTGAATTTGTTAATGTTATTAAACTGTTTTCTAATATAGATAGATTTTTGTGCCACTTGTGCGACTTATTTTTGCTCCTGATCCTTAATCTAGTATATAACTGATCGAAGCATACGTATGTATAAGGAGAACCTACAATTATTACTTAAATTGAGTCAATATACTTATATCGCATTTCCTAATTTAATTTTTAAATAAGACAAAAAGAGTCAAATTTATTGCAAGATATTGCGTGTAATTCATGCATGGAAATATAAATGTCAAGTCTTAGTGGTCATTTTTGGTCTCTTTATACTATGCCAAATATAAGAGTAAGTACACTCGTATTTACCGGTATTTACAAATTTACGAGAAAAATGACATCCCTATTGTAGTATTATATGTGACGTTACTCTACAAGATATGGGTGTCTTTAATCTATAGTGATTTCGTTTGCAATTTTAGAAACAATCGATATCGATATAATCATTTCTGTCAAGTTATTTATTTTTATTATTTTATTATATGTCTATTAATAAAGAATAGACTTGTTAGATTCGAAACATAGTGTTCGTTCGATTTACTTTAGTTAATTTATCACCAGACTAGATGTCGCTCAACGACATGTTTGTATCGAATTGGCTTAGTTAATGTGGTACTAGATGTCGCTCATCGATTTAAAAACGCGTTATGGTTTGTGCCATTATCGCTGAACACCTCCAGACAGTGACCACGGCGCGCTACAAAACGCTTGAAGGCTGAAAGGAAACCTTCTGTCGTCAAGTCACTAACGGCCTCTAAATGAATGGCTCGCGTCGCCAGACAGATAAAAAGTGCAATCTTGAACTTAAATCAAAGTGCAACCTTTATAGCATAGATCGGCTGAGTGATGATTTTTCTGTATCAATGACTGCATGACAATGACAAAAAAATATCAGTGACGGGAACAATGACAAAATCATCAATGATTTTTATCTGAGTATTAGATCTCGTTACTTCAATTGTGACTAGATACTGAAATGATCGCGGAACGGCTTAGTTATCATTAGTTATTTATGGTCGCGTAAATACGCACCTCCAATCTTACCTTCATGCTTTTTCCAGGCTTAGGACTGCAAAAGACTGGCAAAGTAATAGTACTTAGTAGGTACTTACCTAATAAAAAAAACTATCATTCTGCTTTTCTTTGGCGCATTTAAAAGATTGGTATATTTACAATGATCAATTATCAATAATATTTGTTATTTAATTTTTTTTTGTTTTTTGTATTTTGTTGTTTTTTTTTTCTGTAGAAATATTTACATTTTCTTGCCCGTTGTACCGAATTATTGGCTACAATGGATGTTTAAAAACATCAGTTGTTTAACTTTTGCAATTCCTAGATGAGTGCGTCTTTCAGTTACCATGGTACCAGCTCCTGAAAATACCCTTCCACATGGCACTGATGTTTCTATCACACAGCATTTTGCCTTTAACGCTAAATGTGTAAACTTGGTTTTAAAATCAATGATATAGGTAACTTCACTAAACTAAATTCACTATAACGTATCAAAAAGCCAATTATAGCGAGAATACATTACACAACGTATTTCGTACGTGTGGTTGGTCGTCTTCGTCTAACCAAAACAATGATTCACGCGATACTAAATTACTAAATGCTAGATAAAATAGCATTCGTAACTTGCCGTGCATTTCGCGCGTAAACGTAAACAACGCAAGTAAAAGCATTGTTTGTTGCCGTTCCATGCAGTGTGCTGTGCACCCCCGCGCCGATCATTTTATCGAAACTTGTAAGTTCTGTGACTTCAGCCACAGCCAGTACCTATCGCCGATCGAGAAGTCTCGCAACGTCGTACGTCACACCGCAGCGCCCGAGGCGGCCCGAGACCGCCCGATCCGAATTACCGAAGCTCGCGTTCATTCAAGAAATAATTTAAAAGCATTGATGATTTTGTCGTTGTCATTTCATGATGACATGATTTTAAAATATCGATGATTTTTACCTGTGACATGATATCGGACTCATCTCTACTATATAGCATCGACAACCTTTGCCCTCGGAAATCCTAACATTAATAGGGCCAGCGTAATCAATACCACAGCGGGAAAATGGACGACTTATTGTTACTCTAGCTTTGGGTAAGTCTCCCATAAAAGGCTGTTGGGAAGCAGTTCGTTGATACTTAATACATTTTCCACATTTTCTAACATAATCTTTAATTAGATTCTTTACCTTTAAAATCCAGTACTTGGCTTTGATATAATTCAGCATCAATTTAAACCCCCTATGGAGAGTTTTCTCATGTGCTTCTGCTACAATTAAACGTGACAGATGATTATACGGCAAAATGATTGGATGTTTGACATCATACTTTTCATTGCTATTCTGAATACGTCCCCGAATTCGTAATATGTCGTCTGCGTCTATAAAAGGGCATAGCGAGCGTAATTTACTTCCTCTAGCTACATCCGTTAACTTCCTTAGACGACTGATCTCATCCGAAAATGCCGATTTTTGATAATGTCTCAAGCAGAGCTTCATCGATTCGAGTAACTCATCTACTGTAAGATACTTTGGAAAGATCATTGCTTTGTGTCTGAGCTTGTTTAAAGGTCTTCGGCACCAAGCAACAACTCGTACTCATTTATTCAATGATGAATATTTTTCCCAGACGGTAATATCTGTTGGCAAATTTGGGCTATCCTCAATAACAGTGTGAACTTTAATAGACCTCTCTTCCAGATTGGTTAGTGGAACAATTATTTCTGATGGTGGGTATTGAAGGTCACGCAACCAATTTGGACCATAGTGCCACAAATCATGCTTAATGAAATCACTAGGACTTAATCCACGAGACGCACAGTCGGCTGGATTCTGGGCTGATTCCACATGAGACCACTGATCATTGTCTAATACTGCAAGAATCTTTGTCACTCTATTGGCGTCAAAGGTCTTCCAGCAGCTTGGTTCACCCTTTAACCATGCCAGGACGATAGTAGAATCAGTCCAAGCCCGGATTTGCCATCTCGATAAACCCATCACTAAAGCGATTTCAGATAGCAAGCCTGCAAGCAACTCTGCTCTGGACAACTCCAATCTTGGAGTAGAAATTTGTTTCGGTGGAGCGACTTTCGTTCTTGCTGCAGATAAACTCACATGTATGCCACCCCGCAAGTCTACGATTCTCAAGTATACGACTGCTGCATAGGCGTCATTGGATGCATCACAAAACCCATGTATGGACACATCAGCCACACTTTCACTCATGTGAGTCCAGCGAGATATAATGACGTGATTGAGAACAGGTAAATCTTGTCTAAAGGTAATCCATTCTTGTAGTAAATCGCTTGTTATCTCTTCATCCCACGAAACACCGGCAAGCCAAAGCTTCTGCATGTAGATCTTAGCTCTGATGATAACTGGCACAGTCCAACCAAGAGGATCGAAGAGTCGGGCAATGTCTGGCAAGATAGTTCTCTTCGTCACCCTCTGCTACTGTTCTGGTAAATTTACCTTGTACCTAAAGGCATCCAAAGTAACATCCCAACATAACCCAAGAATCTTTACAATGTCATCTAGCTTAACTTTTATTTAACTTCTTTTCCTTTCCTTTATCCTTAACCATCTCCATCAGCTTACTGCTATTGGAGGCCCACTTTTGTAAGCTAAATCCACCCTTAGCCAGTAATTCCGACACTTGTTTGTAGATCTCCACAGCTTGCGACTCATTCTCACATCCTGATATGAAGTCATCCATCTAAAAGTCATTCAGAACTCTACATGCTGCCAGCTCATAATTCTGGCCTTCATCCTTAGCCACCTATTGGAGCCTCTTCACTGCTAAATATGGTGCCGAAGAAACACCAAATGTGACTCTCGTCATCATAAATTCTTTAACCTCTTCGTTCTGACTAGGTCTCCATAAAAGACGTTGATATTTACTAGCGTCTTTCTCGTGCACCTTTACCTGCCGATACATTTGTACGATGTCAGCAACAAAGCACACAGGATGAGCACGCCATCTTAATAAAATATGACGTAACTCAGGCTGCAACCTCGGCCCGACCAACAAGTCATCATTTAAAGACCTGCCGTTTTTCCCCTTGCAGGAGGCATCAAAAACTATTGGGAGCTTGGTCGTCGTTTTATCCTCACGTACCACCGCATGGTGAGGCAAATAAACACAATTTGTTTGAACTAACTCTTTTGAGTCAACAACCTTCATATGACCCTGATTTATATAATCACTCATTGCCCTTGAGTATTCTTCCTTTAAGAGTGGATTTTTATTCAACCTACTTTTTGGAAGATTGATTCTTCGCATCGCAATGTCTCTTAAAGCCCCATATTGGCATTGAGGATCTTCTGCCCTAAAGGGTAGTCGAACAATATACCGACCATCGGGAGTTCTAGTTGTAGTGACATCGTATAAACTCTCACATTTTTTATCTTCTTCAGATAGAATTTTGTGAGGTTCATTATCTATCTCCGAAAAGCTCCGAATCAATTGATTCAACGAATCATCTATATGCAAACTTATGATGTTGCTGGGGTATTCCTCATCCAACTGTACTCGACCCGAATGGATCCATCCAAGCTCCGTATTCTGTGCTGTTAATGCACCAGATGGATTTTTAACTAATCTGTTTGTCAAAATCTGCGCATAAATATCGGCACCGAGTAAGATATCAATCTTATTAGGTGTACCGAATTCTGGATCAGCTAGTCTTAATTTTGATAGTTCTGACCAGTTGTGAATCTCAACTCTTCTTTTTGGCAAATTTGACGACAGTTGGTTCAGCACATAAGCTCGCACTTCACACTCAAATGTCGTGCAAATAGTGGACTCTATTTTAAACTGCACCGCGTGTTTAATATAATGTGATTTCCCTCCACCCAAGCCTGTAACAACTCCCTTCACGGAAGATTTACGAAGGCCCAACAATTGGGCACAATGCTCCGTAATGAATGAAGCTTGGGAGATCCCTGGTCCAATAAAGCTCTTAGCAAATAACACTTATTCTTACTACTAAATATTCTAACAACAGCTGTTGCTAAGATTACACGACCAGGAATATAACAATGATTTGAAATCACTTGCCCTACATCTGGTGACGGCTGTTCAATCTTCTCATTCTGGTGTGTTTCCGTTGGATTAGGAACTACATTAAGCGGCGAACCCATCGGCCACATCGATTACATTTTGTGCTCCTTTTACAACAATATACAGAATGGCTTTCTCCAAAACATTCTGTATATTGTTGTAAAAGGAGCACAAAATGTAATCGATGAATTGAAACATAATCTATGTTCCCGTACAAATTCGTAACGATTTCCGTAACTTTCCTTACAAAACTTCTTACACTGGTGTAATAAGTGACTCTCTGAACAAAAATGACAAGTAACAGTGGTGACCTTGAATACTTTATGTTTCTCTACTCTTTCTTTTGGCTTATTATCATTTTTATTAGGTTCTAAAAATTCCAATGCTCTAAATATGGGCTATAAAAACTTCTGAAATTCACTATAGGTTGGAAATTTATCTGCATACTCGCTTATTCTCTGCTCCCACTGCTTCCTCGTTTCCGGGTTTAATTTCAGTGCTATAAGATGTATAACTATAATGTCCCACTTTAAAACATCGATTCCTATGTTACTAAGTGCGTTCAAACAGTCATTTGTTGTATCTAAAATCTGCTTAATATCATTTGCCGATTCCATCGTGAGTGACTTTTGACCCATCAGTCTAGTAAGAATGCGGTTAAACGTTCAAAATTTCTGATGTGGGACAATTAATTCACACAGACATTGCAAATGTAACTGGATGATTGGCGAAAATGTGTTCTACATGCCGTAGCATTTCAAGAAGAAGATTCGTAGAAAGCACCATTTATGTGAGCACCTTGTCATTAGCGTAAGTGACGATAGTGAAGGTGACTCTGACTCGGACGAATATAAACTGTTGGATACCTATTTTAAATTCTTATTAATTATATTATATATAAGTATGTATTTTTGACATTTTATGTATTTTGCATTTTCATAATATACACATCGACACAACAGTGGTGCGTCACTATGTCATGTTAAGGCTTGGTAAGGCCCTTTACTGTCAGTGATAAGCTGGCTTTTCACTGTGGAATTATATCCCGAGATATAAATTATATCCCGTGATTGCCATATATCCATAGATCTGTATAAATACCAGAGAGATATATCTTTTAACTAATGTGCGTTCGTCATTTTTTTTAAATTTATTTATTCATACAAAGGTAAGTACATTATTTTTTCTATTCTCTCACCAAACTGCAAACAGTTTGTCGGCGAGTACACGCTCTTAAAACTATGTATCATTATGCACCATCACCTACAAAAACAGAATTAATTACAAAAAAAAAAGAAAATATAACCTTACCTTATATTTATCTACTACAATTTCACAATATTTAAAAAATATTAAACTAAAAAATAAACAACAGCAATAAACAAATCAAATAAATCAAACATAAAAAACGATTAACATAAGTATGCAACAATGTATGTGTTATAGCTCTCTGTTAATAATGTCCTTTTCAGAGAGGATTTTAATAAGTTTTTGCTTAATTTATTTTTATTTGGAGGCGTTTCTATTAACCATTTTATTTTGTTATAAATTCTGGGTACAATGTATTTATTCAAGCGCTGTCCATAATAGTTATTTGCACTAGGCTCTTCAAGTTTTTTTTCCCTTACATTACGCGTGTTGTAGGTGTTAATAATAGGTACTTTATAGTCGTCAATATAGTAATGTTCAATTGCTATTAAATATTTTAACCGTGTTTCAACAGGGAGTATTTTACACATGGGAAATAATTTTTCATATTGTTTTTACAGCTTTTCTTATCTTCTGAATTAATTAAAAATTTTATAATACGTATTTGTAGGCTTTTCACTTGTTTTATATAAGTGCTAAATGTACGGGCGTACACAATAAGACCATAGTTAATCAAAGATTCAATTAATGCATAGTAAACCACTAATAGAACATGTTTACTTACTACTTTTCGAATTTGATAGAATTTGCCTAAAATGGACCTTAATTTTGAACATACTTCTTCAATGTGTAATTTCCAATTTAAACTACTATCTACCAACAATCCTAAATATTTGTAACTATTAACAAATTCTATTTTGGCACATTGACATGATAATTTTCCCCTGTGTAAGTAATAAAAACTCATAGTAATATCAGCATAATAAAACTCATAGTCATGCCCTACAATACCTATTTCTTCATAGCGTACATTCTTAGCTAGCCTGTTGTATGGAGAATGTAAATGCATACACTTTGTTTTTTTCAAGTTCAATATTATGCCGTTATCATTTGCCCATTGGGTAATCCAATCAAAGTCTTCCTGTATTTTATCGCAAGCTTCATGTAAGTTTTTGGAAGCATACAATAGGCACATGTCATCGGCATACATATAGGTATCGCAGTGATGCACTACATTAACCACACTGTTAACCAGTATAATGTACCCTACGGGGCCGTACACAGATCCGGTTGGTACACCGAGAGAGATGTGTTCTTCACCGCCAGTCGTCCCACTCACCATAGTGCGAATAGCCCGGTTTGATAAATAATTACGGAACCATTCATTTACAGAGCCCCGAATTCCACATTCCTTCCACTTCCATAGTCCCCAGAAGTAATTCATGGTCCAGAGTATCAAATGCCTTCTTATAGTCTATAAAAAGATTTTCTCGATCGATCGATATGTGAAAATATCGCTCGGTCGATCGAAAAAATATTTATAGTTTGAGATGTAATATATATTACATCTCAGTGTAAACGGTTCCATTTAAAAGTACGGTGAGCGATATTAATTTATATCTCGAGATGTAATATAATTTATATTATATTCCATAGTGGAAAGTGGGCTTTAGAGTGCGCACAAGATAACAAGAGTGCGCGCAAGATAATTCTGCGCGCGACAGAAATAGGAACTAATCGTGAGCCGCCATCTTATTGTTTATGGTGTGTGTTTTGTACCTTGTCTTTTGTTTTTGCAGTAAATAACCGTCATCATTATGCCAAAAGTGATTTAAAGTGCTGGCAGGGATATTATCTAGAACGTCAAACGTGCTTGTGAAGAAGAACAAGACAATAAATATCCTAGTCATCGAACTATATTACTAATGTATAGAAGAGACATCCCGAACCAAAAGTTTGCTTCATTTTGGTAAGAGTTAGAACTAAAGTTGCCGCAGAGCTAAAATAAAAGTTACGTCGTCTAACCAAACTATTAAAACATGCAGCGCTAGTTTGCATTAGGGATTAGTTTTCTCGCGACCAAAACGTCATAAGCAATGCGTAGTATCCTCTTAGTAGTCTGTGCATAATAGCGATGTCAACCGATTACAACTTTCAGCACCGGTATAAACCGATTAGTAATTTAAAAAAACCGGTTTTCTTAGGTTTTTAGGATCCATAAGACAATGAAAAAATTGAGTTTTGTTATAAAAAATAATACATTTTACGGAATTTATCGTTAACTTTAATACGACTTTCATTCAATGTGTAGTGTTCGCGTAAATATAAGAATCAATACTTATTAAACTTCATTCAATAAAAAAACATATTTTTATTTTTAGTTAAATAATTAAATCATAATTTTGGTGGATAAAACAAAGTTGATCTACTGCATCACCTAGCAACCTGTTCCTTCGTGATGATAAGAAATAGCCGGAAGTTGAAAACATTCGTTCCGAAGGTACTGAAGTCGCTGGCACTGACAGATATTTTATAGCCATGTTATTAAGCGGCGCCAAATATTTTCTTTTGTTTTCCAGTAAGTGCCAGCGACTTCTGTATGTTTGTCTTCTCGCCTAGGATCAATCTCGGTTTCCATATACATGCGCAGTATGTTTACTGCAGAAACAGTCGCATTTGGAACACCAGTCTCAGTCCTTCTTTGTTTTAAGAAGTCCAAAATTCCCGGCTTCTTTGTTGCCACCTGCTCAGTCGTAGGTATTGAATCAGAGGATGTGGCATCAGTTTTATTATTGGAGTCCAGTATCAGACTCCCCAACTCCCGCCTCATCTGGTCTTTAGCAGATAACATATTTTCAGGTTGACGAAAGCCGGTCCTTAAGGTTGGATGCAAATATGTAGAAATTTGTGACACAGTTCTTGTTTCGTAGGCCAACAATCTGCTGCTCAAGCGGCATAAACAACGTACCAAAACTAAGTGCGGTATTTCTTGTTTCAATCGGGCAAAAACTCCATTATTTACGCCAACCATCACCGAAGCATTATCTGTACCAATACCCATTAAGTTTTCAATTCGCAAGTCGAAATGTTTAAGCGTCCGCTTTATGGCAGAAACAATACCTTCAGCATTACATGCGTCGAGTTCAGCAAGGTCCAAATAAGTTGAAACTATTTTTTCATGTGTAGTGCTGTAATAAATTATAACTAAACCCAAATATTTTTGTACAGCAATATCTGTGGTTTCATCTATTAATAAACTGTATGGTTGATCTTTAATGTCGTTTTTTATAAGTTCTGTAAAATGAGATGCTTAAATATTTTTTATTACATACGTGCACTTAGTTCGGTGCATCTGTATTTTATTTATTTCTTTTTCATGGCTATAGTTAATAACTTCTCCTAAATGGTCAACTGTTCGTATACTTGTATGCATTGCTGTAAATAATGCAACTCTGGCTTCATCTTTCTTTTTATTATCAGTAGACTCCTTTTTGAATGTCAGCTTAGGTTATTTGGAGATAACCTATATAAGTTTAAAATATTTCACATATTAATGAAAAATGATTAAAATATTTCACATATGTTTTTTATTACTCTAACGGTTTTCGGGTCAGAATTGACCTCAACTAATAACAAACACACTGTGCATCTGTTATCGTTCGAATTGTTTTTGTTTCGCATAACTTTACGAATGAGACGTTCTTTTGTTCTACCCACATAAATCTTAGCGTTATATTATACATCAATTCAACAACACGTACCGTAGTTTAAAGTGGTGAAAACGTTATTTGCTTATAAAAAATGAAATAGAAGCGGCGTTATTGGATGAAATGTCGGATAGTAATGAATGTTGCTGTGAAACAGAAGATTATTTCGAATAATCTGAACCATCTGACAGCTCGGATAGTGACAGTGAATCAGTGATTGTGCCTTCAATGACGTCAAAGAATGGGCAAGTGCAATAATCCAGAACCCCGTCATACAGTCACGTGGCAGAGCTTCCAGAAAAAACATAATAAACTTGATACCAGGATTGACATGCTATTCTTGCTCAAGGATCACTTCAGAAGAAAAATCCAGTTTTGATTTATTTTTCCCTCCACCTTTGATACACACTATATTGAAATATACGAATTTGGAAGGTAAGCGTGTTTTCGCTGATGATTGGAATGACATATACATACATACATACATTTTATATATATTTATCATCATCATCATCATCATCATTCCAGCCCTTTACTAGTCTACTGCTGAACATAGGCCTCCCTCAAGGAACGCTACAAAGCACGGTCCTGAGCCACCTGCATCCATCGATTTCCTGCATGTTTTACCAGGTCGTCACTCCATCTATATGGGTAAAAAATAGTTTTAACTGTTGTGTAGTAATTTGAAACTATGCCGACAATAATTTGTATCTACATTGTACGTTGTCGAAACACCGCCATTTAAAATAAAATGCAGAAAATAGTATATTTCGCTTTCAGTAACTAATAAACTAAAAATATGAACAACTTACGCGCATTTATTTAAATAATAATATTTATAATTGAACATTCTAACACATTTTTTATTTTGTAGTTATTCCATTAGAATAGTATAATAATTATCAAGTTAGAGTGAAGCGTTCACCAGCCCCATGGGTGACTGAGACCGTAAGGTTGGCAATGACTAGGCGAGATCGAGTATTTGTGAAATTTAAGAAGCATCGTACACAGGACAGCTGGGATTGCTACAGAGTGCTAAGAAACGGATGCAATCAGATGGTACGAAATGCTAAACGCCGTTATATCCATAGTAATATTGCAAACTCTTCAACCGCTGATGTGTGGAAATTTCTTAAAACACTAGGTATTAGTAAGGCCGTTACACCTGACCATGGCTCATCAATCACTCTGGATGAAATAAATCATCACTTTATTTCTTCTTTTTTGGATCCCACAGTTCGTCCTACGACAATAGCTTCCATTCAACCCATGCCATCTCCTCGTATTCCTTTTTTCACTTCTTACCTGTGACTGAGGATGAGATACAAAAATCTTTATTAGCTATTAAATCCAAGGCTGCGGGTTGCGATGAGGTTAGTAAGGTTATGGTATCCATGATTCTTGAGTGCCTTTTACCTGCAATCACACATCCTACTCAGTGGAAAAAAGCATTTGTGCGACCACTTCCTAAAATACCTAATCCCTCATTACCTACCCATTTTCGACCAATTTCAATATTGCCACACCTATCTAAAGTTCTGAACGCCTGTGTTCACAAGTAAATCTCTATGTTCATAACCAAACACAATCTGCTGAATAAATATCAGTCAGGCTTTCGTGCAGGTCACATTACTAACACTGCATTGATAAACCTACTACCGTCACAGACGATATTAGAATGGGAATGGATGAGCAAAAACTTACAGTGGTAGTGCTTGTTGACTTTTCAAATACTTTTAACATAGTCGACCACGATATCCTTATAGCCTTCCTAGATAATCTTAGATTCTCAATCCCAGCTTTGGAATGGTTTTCATCCTATCTTCGCGGCCGCCAGCAATTAGTACGATTAAGACAAGAGTTCTCAAGATGGGCTGACATTGAAACCGGTGTGCCGCAGCAAGGCGGAATACTTTCTCCTTTAATATTTTCTGTATTCATAAATTCTATCACTTCAGTTCTCAACTGTAGTAGTACCATCTGTATGCAGATGATCTTAGCTCTATGTGCAATCTAGTGTTAACGGCCTTAACGATAATATTCATAAACTCAACCACAACCCGATGCCATAAGAGATTGGTCGTACAGACATGATGTTTTGTTTAACCAATCCAAATGCAAAGCAATGGTTATAGGTAGTAGCAGAATGTTAGCTAAAATAAATAACAATAATCTTGCTCCCGTATTTTACAGTGGAACGTTGCTGCCATTTTGTAAGTCTGTCAAAAATCTTGGCTTAAATATAGACCATACCTTAAGCTGAGGAGTTCAAGTTGCCAAAACCAGCCGTAAAGTAACTACCACCTTACGTTCTCTTTGTCGTCTCAAAAACTTTCTGCCTTTTAAAACTAAACTTCTGCTAACCAAGACTTTGATACTACCCATTGTTTTTTTTTCTTTCACTTTATAAGTGATATTTTGTATAATGTATTTTGATATGTATTGTGTTATTTTATTTTTGTCTCATAATATTTTATTTACTTATAGAACTTGTATAGAAGTAGCTGTTTATATATTGTTACGAGCTTGAGGTTCGTGACAATAAAAATTGCCGATAAAATTACCTAAATTAACACTTTAATTTTCTTTCACAAATTAAAACTTAAAACACTAATAATTAAGCACACTAATTCACTTTATTCCGCTCCGAAGCTTCGCTTGTCTCGCCAACTTCAATACTTCCCCGATCGCGTATTGCAGCGCCTTTATATAGGGCTCTTCCACGAAAACATTCAGAATATTCTAGAATATTCGAGTAAATACGCGCGCCTACCGACCAAGCGCAGAAAGTTCGAGTGTAGAGATTCTAGAAAGTTTCGTTCTTCAATTTGATACTAGATGGCGCTGTCGGTTAAAAAATAAGTCATGTCATTTTCTGGAAAGCTCTCTCCTCGCTCTGTTACCCGATACTAGATGGAGCTTGTGCCAGGAGATGAGATGTCAACTTAGCCGCGCAACACTGCCCCCTCCTAAGACATGCTCGCCCCGAGCATTATCGGCCCCATAATAACGCGCCAGGCGATCCACATGGACGATCTTAGGAGTCCCTCTTGCGCCTTTCTGTATCCGGTAGGTTACATCGTTGATCCTGGTCACAATCCGGTACGGGCCGTCCCATTTAGCTTGAAGCTTAGGAGATTTCCCTTTGCTGCGGACGGGGTTATGCAACCACACTAGTGAACCTTCGTCGAACCCTTTGTTGTTCATTTTGCGGTCGTACCGGGTTTTCATCTTTTCAGATATTTGTTGGCCCGAGTTGTCTGACGTGCTCATAAACGTCATTCATTTTGTTCCGCAAGTCATTTGCATAATCGGGTATACTACGTGGAGCATCAGGGGGTATCCCGGTGATCAGGTCTGCAGGCAGCCGTAATTCTCTTCCAAAGTTTGCGAAAGCTGGTGTCACTGCTGTACTTTCGTGAACAGAATTTCGATATGACAACAAAAACGGTTGTATGTGCTTGTCCCAATCTCGTTGCCGATTGTCTACAACTTTTGCTAGGTACCTCTCCAATGTCTGATTAAATCGTTCTACCATTCCATCAGATTGCGGGTGATAAGAAGTCGTTCTTGTTTTATGAGTACCCATAACTCGGCAAGTTTCCTGGAATATTTGAGATTCAAAATTCCTTCCTTGATCGCTGTGAATCTCTAAAGGTACTCCAAAACGACAGAAGACTTCATGAACTAGTTTATCTGCAACAGTTAAAGCTTCATGATTTGGAATGGCGAAGACTTCTGGCCACTTAGTGAAGTAATCCATCACAACCATGAAATATTTGTTACCGCGTTCACTCTCCGGAAACGGCCCCGCCACGTCAATAGCTATTCTCTCCCATGGTGCACCAACATTGTACAACTTCAATGCACCTCTACTACGAGTCTGAGGTCCCTTTACAGCCGCACAACTTGTACATTTGCGACACCAGTCCTCGACATCGTTTCGACAGTGGACCCAGTAAAACCGTTCTCGGATCTTCAGTAGAGTTCGTTTAACTCCCAGATGGCCTCCTGAATAATCATTATGGTACAGCTGTAGAACATCCGGTACTTTAGCTTTAGGGACAACCATTTGTAAATGACAGCTGTCTCCCCGAACATTTTCCCATTTACAGCACAGGTCTCCATCCTAAATCAGCAAGCTATCCCACTGGGCCCAATAGCTTTTAGTGGTCGAACTCATCGCTGAGACGTCGCTCCACTTGGGCTTGGGAGCACTAGCCTTCATCCATTCCAGGATGGGCTTGATGTCCGGATCTTCCTGCTGTGCACGTTGTAAGCTGTCCTTCCACTCGTTGCTGAGGTGGTCTGCCCTGAGAATCCTCACGGATACCACTTTCTTACTCTCCTGCCTAGTACAATGTTTGCAATCTTCAGGACAAGGCCTTCGTGACAATGCATCTGCGTTGCCATGAGATTTCCCGCTGCGATGTTCGATCTCAAAGTCGTATTCTTGCAGTAGTTCAATCCACCTCGCAACTTGTCCTTCTGGATTTTTAAACTGCAATAGCCATTTTAGTGCAGCATGGTCAGTTCTTAAGCGAAATTTTTGTCCCAGAAGATATTTGCTAAAATGCTGCAATGACTTTACCACAGCTAGCAATTCGCGTCTTGTGACACAATAGTTCCTTTCCGGTTTTGACAACAACTTGCTGAAGTACGCTATCACGACCTCTTGGTCACCATTCCGTTGAGACAACACACCGCCAAGTCCTATATCACTTGCGTCTGTGTCAACTATAAATTCTTTGCTTGCATCAGGGTATCCCAAAATAGGTGTTTTGCACAAACGGTCCTTGAGCTCCTGGAATGCGTTATTGCAACCTTCATCCTAGCAGAAATGTCGCTTCTCCTCGGTTAGCTTATGTAGAGGTTTGGCTATATCTGCAAAGTTCTTTACATATCGCCGATAATAGGAGCACAAACCCAAAAATGCTCTAACCTGCGTCTTGTCTTTTGGAAGCGCCCAATCCTTGACAGCTGCGATTTTCTTCGGATCCGTACGGATACCTTCTTCCGACACTACATACCCCAAAAAGTTGACTTGCCGTTTGAATAGCGAACATTTCTTCGGACTCAACTTGAGGTTGGCACTCTGAATCTTCATGAGCACGCGTTCCAGATTCTGAAGGTGTTCCTCAAACGTACGGCCCACGATGATGATGTCATCCAAGTAAGTTTAGTTCTTCAATTTGATACTAGATGGCGCTGTCGGTTAAAAAAATTAGTCATGTCATTTTCTGGAAAGCTCTTTCCTCGCTCTGTTACCCGACACTAGATGGCGCTAGTGCCATGAGATGAGATGTCAACTTAGGCGCGCAACAATATTTATTATTTATCCTATATTATATATTAAGTAAGTATGTATATTTTACTAATTATATCTATTCTATTCATTTGCATTTTATTTTCTTTTATATCCTTATTATTTATTTAAGGAGTGATTGATTACACCTGGCACAGTTTTTCAAATCATTGAGGGTTGACTGGCAGAGAATGCCATAAGGCATTAAGTCCGCCCTTTATATCCCTTAGTATAAGGTGTATAATAAAGATTAAATAAATAAATAAATAGATAATAGCGAATTATATCAAAAATATGTATATTTAGATTGTTTTCAGTTTAGTTACTTACTTGTCTATAAACAAACTGATTCAAACTGGTTTGCCAGCAATTATTGCAACATTCTCACTATCCTCATATATTAGTACCTAGGTAGGACACTCAATAAGTTTTGAGATATACAAAAAGTATTCTAGCCTATTAATGTTTATTTTACATCTTTTCAAAAACTCATAAAGTTCCATTCACCTAAACCAATTCTGAAAACACTTTTGCCAGTCTTGATCTGAGGTCGGAAATAGCTTTTTCGGCGCTTGAAAAAAACTTTCCTTTTATTTTTCTTTGACTCTTGGGAACAAAAAGAAATCGCAAGGAGCTAAGTCAGGGCTGTAGGGTGGGTGACTTAGAGTTTCAACACCAGATTCCTCAATAAATCCTTTTGTTTTAAGGGAGGTATGCGAAGAGGCGTTATCGTGATGCAGCAATATTCCCCGAAGCCCGGTCTTTGGTCTTCTCTCGCGCACAGCTTGAAAAGCTTTGGGTAATGCAACTGTAGTATACTACTATAGGACACACAAATGTCCACTGCGCGAAAAAAAACTAGCCACCATGTTTTTGCTGACGTTGCGAGGTCTCTGCAGTTTTGTCGGTAACTGTCCTTCTGAGTAAACCCATATCGATGATTACCTTTTATTTTCCGGATCATATTGATAGATCCATGTCTCGTCACCAGTAACGATTTCTGAAACACGCCTAGATGCCCCGTTTTCAAAACCTTGATGCATTTCATGGCACCAATCCACACGAGTTTTTCGCTTTCAGAGATCAAACGAGGGATCCATCGACAACAAAGTTCCTCACTCAAAGATGTTGATGTAGGATGGTATGACTGCTCCCCGAACTAGTGCCTACAATCTTTCCAATATCCGTATATGTAATTCGTGGGTCTTCTCGCACCAACATTTCAGTAGTATACATTTTCTGCCATTACTGCTGTTTGCGGGGCCCCGTTTCCATGGTCATCTTTAAGGTTAATTTCACCCCTTTTTGAAGTCAGCAAACCACCTAAAATTGTTGATTGTGTTGGAGCTGAGTCACCTAATGCTGATCGTAACCGTTGTAAAATTAATTGTTCGATGAAACCAAATATTAAATCATAATAGATCATAGCACGGAAATGTTCACGGTTAAGAGCCATCGTTTTAAACGAAACTTTTTTTTAAATATTGAGCAATTGAAGTTCTATTTTAAATAAATTTGCTTTTTAGAAACATAACACGGGTGCGTTCCATTTTTAAATTTCAAGCATTTAAAAACTTATTGAGTGACCTACGTAAACTTATATGTCATGGCCATATCTTAGTATTGATGGTATCGTAAAGTAGTCGATCATTTCGGGAAATGATGGAATTTCATCAAAGTTAACATTGTTGACAAATGATATGACATGATATGACTTGACTAAATCAATGAATAGAGATCGTTAGACAATGTTAATAACTAAATTCAACATTGCTATTTTATGAAATGTTTACATCGTATCACTTAACAACCTAATTTATTTAAGTAATAAATGTTCGTGGCTTTGGGTGCTGCACCTTAGTCTACGGTCACTGATATTACTACTACCTATATGGTTGCTTTCGTATAATATGTCAAACGTGGACGGACAAATCCTAGATGAAGTAAATCGACAAATCTTGACATTTATATGACATGGACAGTAATAACTAAATTATGAAAAGGTTGTCAATTATAAAATGTCCGATTTCATGTACTCACTTATACTATCACTTGTAACTGATGGGTGAAAAAAAGTATTCTCTCCTCTTCATCTCAAATGGTCTCCCGCAATAGGAACTTGTTGAAGCGATTACGTAGCTTTTCACTTGAAATGCTTTGAAAAGGCCAATTTTTAATTATTTTGATACTTATTAATTTTGATGTTGACTTTGATTAATTACACAAATACACAATTTACGAAGTTACGCTAAAAGGATCAAGGTAAAGATCGAAATTATAAGAATTATTTAAACTATAAATACTTATATTTTGTTTCCATAACATAAATGACTTTACAATATTATACTGACTTATAATATTTAAATTCCGGCAAGAATTGATGTGGGGTCTTCAACGCCGGACTTGATTTTGCGCAGGAACAATACTGCTTCACGGCCGTCAATCAATCTGTGATCATAGGTTAAGGCCAAATACATCATCGGTCTTATTTTTACCTGAAAAGTAAAAAAGAATTATGCAGCAATTAGAATAGGTCACACGATGAGATAGTTCGCTATACAAAAGACAAAGAGCAATATCGTGTGTTCCTCCATTGAATGATTTTGTTAGGTTTTACACATAATTTTACAGATATAAATTGCCTAAGTTATAAAATATTACATATGTATGTCTTTACTTATATTTATATATTTAGTATGCTACAAATATCCAATATCAATTAATAACTAATGTAAGGGGTTAAGATATGAAAGCCCCGTTTTATGTTGAAAAATTCAAACATCATTTTTCTAAGAAAAAACATACTCATTTAAAGAGTCAAAGTATTCACCTTTATTATCTATAAATTTCTGCTATCTCGAGGGAAGAACATTTCATCATCATCATCATCATTACAGCCCTTCACAAGTCCACTGCTGAACATAGGCCTCCCCCAAGTAATGCCACAAAGCACGGTCCTGATCCACCTGCATCCATCGACTTCCTGCATGTCTTACCAGTACGTCACTCCATCTAGTGGGGGGTCGCCCTACACTACGCCTACCGGTACGAGGCTGCCACTCGAGAACCTTTCTTCCCCATCGGTTATCGGTTCTTCGAGCTATATGGCCGGCCCATTGCCACTTCAGCTTACTAATCCGTTGAGCTATGTCGGTCACTCTGGTTTTACTGCGGATATCCTCATTTCTAAATCTCTCACGCAGAGAAACTCCGAGCATAGCCCTCTCCATAGCTCGCTGAGCGACCTTGAGCGTCCTCATACGGCCAGCAGTGAAGGACCACGTCTCAGATCCGTAAGTCATCACTGGCAACACGCACTGGTTGTACAATCTAGTTTTCAGAGATTGAGGTATACCTGACGAGAAGATGTGTCGTAATTTCCCGAACACTGCCCACTGGTCGAAGTTGGACTTACCTAGTTGGACTATTTATCCCAGGTAAACGTACTCATCAACAACTTCGAGCATAGTGCTCCCAACAACTATTGGCATAGGTGTGACATGGACATTAAACATGATCTTTGTTTTGTCCATGTTCATCTTAAGACCTATCCGTTGGGAGACACCATTGAGGTCATTGAGCGTAGTGCTAAGGTCCTCCAGCGATTCTGCCATAAGGACTATATCGTCGGCAAATCGAAGGTGAGTGATGTACTTGCCATTGATATTAACACCGTATCCGAAGAACATTTATGCCTCAGTAATAGAACTCCGGAGATCTGGATTCTACAAAGTCTATGAATGGGTTTTGTGGCGTTTTTTGAGAATAATTTAAAAAAAAGTAAATTAAGTTTTTTTTGTTTGTGTTTTTGAGTTAAATTTTAGAAAAATAGTATTTGGTTAGGGTTAGGGCTAGCTGGTACGGAGGATGACGTATGACTTCTAACTGCAGTTCTTGTAAAGTTTAAATTTGTTTGTCGAGCATTGTTAGGTCTTACGTTACCATGGAGCAATAATAGCGAAGATCGATTGACTAGTTGGGGTTGTTTCTCTGAGAGTTACGATATTAATTAGGTATCGAGGATTCTTTATAATATATATATATATATATATATATATATATATATATATATATATATATATATATATTGCCACTATCATAGAGTATACACTTTTTATCAGGCGTCACAATTCTGTCCAAAATCCCTAGTTCTTGTACACATCCAAGCAACGCAAACCTTAACGCGTGATTCTCTATGCATATCACATAATTCATGCACCCATTTCTCGAGTTTTTTTTTATAAAAATATAATATATACATAGTAATGCCAGTAATCCTCGAGTAGATAGGCACAGTCGAAAGAGCAGCAAGCCAGGACCACGGTTAGCTAAAAAAAAATTGGGTTGGACGTAATAGTACTGTGAAAGTCGTGCTAGGCGGTTAATCCATCGTCTATCAATTATAAAACCTGTTATCCCATTGAGTCAATATTGTGGGTAAACTAAGGTCAAATCCAGAGGCTAATTTATTGGTTGTTTGATAAGGATCAACTTCCACCATTTGTATCTGTGGTCTCCCTCGTGGTTCATTCTATGAGTCTCCACTATGAAAGCAAATGTAAAGAAAAAATGCGTTATGCTTTAGCTATGTGTATCCTCTCCAAACGTGAGAGTGAGAGCTTTCTCTTTTGCGTTAGAACCACGTTGGAATTTGTAATTAAAAATTACTCTAAGTTTTGAGGCCTCCATGTGTTAAATATATGCGTATTGAATGTAAAACAATTATGTGTAATAGATAAAATGATAGATTTTTTTAATTTAAAATTTTAAATATAAAAGTTTTACGAATCTTGGAAAATGTAGTTTAATTTTGATTTAAATGGGCATTTCATATGGCAACGGCAACTCAATACTTTAATAAAATTTAAGTAAATTATGATAAATTAAAAGTTGTTATAAAAGCCTTTAGAAGTATTTACGTCTTGCGTCAACGAGATGGTTATGCTACCATTTATCGAAAGCCCCTACGTCTCATTATAATTCTTGTTTTCGAAAAAAGTCAATTCCCCTTAATTCGATCTTGAAGTACAACCTGTTTTGGCTTTTCGTGGGATATTTGTTGCGCTATCTATTGTTGTTGCTTAATTATTGGCTCCAACTGAATTCTGCCCTAAGATACTTGGCCAAGTATATAAGCAAATATTCTACTTAGAAAACCACATGTTGAAGCGTACGATATTGTGCAGTAATAGCTTAGATATTGTGCCACCTTTTTATAAAATAAGGGTGACAAGCGAAAAACAGCCCGCTTGATGGTAAGTGGATGCTTAGAACCATATACTCTAGATATACATCTATCCTAGATTAAGAATCAAAATGCAGATGCGTTGTCACCCCTGACGCCTAAGATGCTATTCCTCATATTCAGTAAAAAGGGCATCTAGTTCTCTACACTTTCCATACGAGGCACAGCAACATTTTACGCTGGAAAAGGCTGGAAAAGATATCTATATATGGAGAAGATGAAGAAGAGCGGCAAACGATCGAGTGTTATTTCGGAGCTGTTCTGTATATAGTGCGGTACCTTCGGAACTTTGATAGAGCGATTTTAGCTTCGGTTTGTTTTGCCTGTGGCGCGACGACAGCGACATTACGTCAAACTCCCCCCCCCCCCTGCTGCTCAGACCAGAGTCGTAACTATTGCAATCCGATTGTCGGTGCGTCCCTAATGCCGGTTGGGAATGCATGCTGCTTGAGTAAGGGCAAGTGACGCCGGTGCGAACGATACGCTGGTGTGTAATGCATGCCGTACTACGCGTTTGCAAGTGATGCCGGTGAGAACGATGTGCCGCAGCAAGTGCCATTAGGTCTGCCTTATAAATCTGCGATGAGTCGAGATGAAGACAAGTTAGACTGGCTTGCAGGAACTGAAGACTGCAAATGACGATTCTCGGGAGTAGGTTGGGGTCCTTGAAAATAATGACGAAGGCTTGAAGTTGTAGTTTTAAGTTGAAGACCTAAGGGTGTTGGTTGCATGTTCACATCGTGTCGGTTAGTCACCAATGTAAATGTATTTGGGAATATTTAATAAATAGTCCGTTTTCGTGCACTTATTTTTTTTTTATTTTGCTGAGCACATAGAAAAGATAGTCTAACAACACCACAATACCAAAGATACAAGCGAGAAGATACTGTAATATCACTGACCTCTATATTTACAAGTACGCTGGACTGGCTATATCCTAAAAATGTTTGTGTTGATTTGAAGCTCCGTCATTATTCGTACCGGGAACCAAAATTAACATAATATGCCAAATCTGTTGTGTTGTTTAAATCATATCTCTGTATTTTAAACTTTGGAACGAAAACATTAAAGTATTTTGTGTTGTTTGAATATGTTTGATTTTAGTTATATAATAAGAATTATGTTTAGTAATAATGAGTGTGCGTTATTTGTAAAACTCACGCACTCATTATTACTAAAAATAAGTAACTAATACAAAAAGAAATGGAAAGTGGGGGGATAACATTCCACATGTAAGTGAACTTACAGTTATATTTAAAAATAAATAAACTATTTGATAAAAAAGGTACTTAAAATTTTATTACTAATCTTAATATCGTAATTACCAACATGTTTGGCTTTACATTAACGAGTTTTGATAAACAATAAAATTGGGCTAAACACAGGCTAAACAATAAAGAGGACTGTCACTAGCTACTTTAATTATATTATATGTAAAATGCTGTAAAATTTTATAAGCAGATATATTATAACAAATCATCTTTTTCGTGGATTAAGAATGTCTTTAAAATCAGACGAAAATAATAATAAATACTATAAACTAAGTATGGTAGTGTAGTGGCGGCATAAGAGCCCAATCCCTTTTATCAATGCGTGGGTGCCTAAAATACGGGCTCAAACTATCTTCCTGCTTGTTAAGACATACCAAGTCGACACTTCATCTAGTGGGGGATTGGCAGTCCTAGCCAGTATTCTTTTTTTATATGAAACTGAAGTGGGAATCAAAATTACAGTCCACTTGATGCTAAGTAGCTAAAGCAGGCCATATAGTGGCAGTGGTCATGTTGACATTTTCAGGAGTATACCTACTTACAAATATAAAAGGCTGTGATCATGATAATGAACTGTTGTAATTTCGCGATTGTCTTTCAGTTGTGGTTTCTTTCTTTTAGATTAAAAATGAGAAAAAGAAGAAAGCCAGGGTCCAGACGTTACAAAGATTACGAAGATAATCTTTTAAATATTGCTGTAGAGTTGGTCAAAAATAAAAATATTTCAAGCTACGAAGTTGAAAAGCAATTTGGTATCCCCCGAAGAACCATTGCTAATAAAGTTAAATTGAAACATATGAAAAAAATTGGTTCTCCATGTAGGTTATGCGAAGAAGAGGAGGATAAAATAGTAGAAGCTCTTATACTTTGCGGAGAATATGGATGTCCATTGACTCGTTCTGAGCTGCGTATGATTGTTCACAACTATTTAACCAAAAATAATAAACTGTGGATTTTTAATAATAAACTACCTGGTGAACGGTGGGTTCGAGAGTTTTTGAATCGCCATAAAGAAAAATTGACATTGCGCTCTACACAAAACATAAAGAGCTCACGTGCTTCCAAAACAATAACCGAATATGAGGAATATTTCGAAAATTTAAAGAAAAGTCTTGTCAGTGTTAAAGCACATAACATAGTCAATTTCGACGAGACAAATTTAACTGACCACCCTGGATCGCAAAAGTGTATTTTTAAAAGGGGAAAAAAATATCCAAATAAGATTTTAAATAACTCTAAAACTGCAATATCAATCATGTTTGCTGTCACGGCATCAGGCGATCTTTTTCCGCCGTATGTGGTATATAAATCTCTGCATTTATGGGCCAATTGGTGTGAAGGTGGGCCGCCTGGCACCAGATTCAATTAAACAAAATCCGGATGGTTTGATGCCGATTGCTTTCAAGATTGGTTTGAAAATATAATTTTACCTTGGGCACAAAAAAATGGAGAACCGAAGGTATTGATTGGAGATAACTTATCCTCACATTTAAATGTACAAATAATATCTAAATGCCAGGAAATCAATATAAGATTTGTATTTCTACCTCCAAACTCAACACACGATACTCAACCCCTTGAAGTGTCTTTTTTTAGACCGTTAAAAAGATCTTGGAAAAATATTTTTCTAGATTGGAAAGTAAGACATCCATCAGCCAGTGCTCTAAACAAACAAATATTCCCAGAATTACTCCGTACGTTAATTGATACAATAAAAATGAATACAGATACAATAATTAGAAACGGGTTCAGGGCGACAGGTATTCATCCCCTACAACCAGAAGCAGTATTAAGAAAATTACCAGATTACAAAGAAAACAGGGAACCACAAACATTTGACGAAACGCTCTTAAATTTTTTGAAGGACTCCAGGTCACCGTCTGTTTACAACACTGCGAAACGACGCAATAAAAAATTTGTACAAAACCAGGGGAATTTGTTTCTACCGATGATTTCAGATTGTGTGCAAATAATTTATTGGATACTAAACCATCGAATAATTTATCTGACGATGAACCATCGACCAAAGACTTAGATACAAATATCAATTCCACTATTTCGCCAGGAACTAGTGTCTGTGTAGACAAAAGTTTACATATTTCAAGAGATCGCTTTTTTGTTCCGTAAGTCAGTAGTTAATAAAATGAGTACCGTTCCACAAAGAAAACAAATTAAAATATTGTCAGATATAGTATTAAATTCATCAAATAAACGAAAAAATCGTAGTTCCAGTAGTTCGTCGCTTCTCATATCTCATATCTTCATATTCTCTACATGATTCTTCTGACGATGGTCCTCTTGTACCCTCTAATAGCGATACAGAAAGTTTCCATGGCAGTGATTTAAATTTAACGGAAGAAGATAACTATACTGATGATAAAATAGGAATTGGGGATTACGTTTTGGTTAAATTTTTAAGCGGCAAAAATGCCAAATACTATGTAGGTAAAATAATTGATTGTAATAATAATGAATTCACCACGAAATATTTAAGAAAAACATTTAAAGGCTCTTTTTCATGGCCTTTAGTCGAAGACATATCGGTAATTACGCGGCTCGATATTCAAAAAAAAATACCTAAACCCATAGTCGGTCGTCGTGGTGAATTAAAATTTAGTATAGACTGCAAAATTCCAATGTCAAATATTTATTAATAGGCTAATTCGCATGTTATTTATAAAAAAAAATATAAAAATTGAAAGACTACTAAACCAAAAACAAATTACGGGTGATATTATCATTAAAAGTAATTATAATTATAAAGGATATTAAGCGATTGAACAGTATTATTAGTAACTAATTGTTACCGTATTTAATACTCTTTTAAAGAAAATTTTAAATTCAAATGTATATTTGTTTCTTTAATTGTTTGGTAAAGTGACAAACTGTAACAAGCTGAGCTATTCCTAGTGCGTCAGTATTCATGAGAGCTTAACTTGATCAGACATTGGTACTGCTGACTTGGTCGTCTGTTTAAGATTTTGTTTGTCTCCAAAATGTAATTGAATCATTTTTTGTTATCTCCTATAGAAGAGTTATCATCTGCCCAAGATATTATTTGATTAGTTTCAATGTTAATCAGACAATGAAAATTTTATATTTAAGTAATTGTAATAACTACACAATAATGTTATGTGGACACTTCAATATTTTTTTAATAAACATAATTTAATAAATTTTATTTATTTTTACTGCTCTGCATTTGCGACAACCCTATGCAATTTTAAATAATGTATGAAAATATCAACAAATTCAAACACAACATTGCCTAGCTTTGTTCCAGGTGATATAAGCAGAAGAGACTATTTTTTCAAATGTTAACCCTAAGAACTACTAATAAAGTTTAACTTAGTGTGCAAGAATGATGTATTTACGTCATTTTTGCCGTCGAAACTGAGGCAGGCAATGTTACAATTTTGTGGTCCAACTTTGCCTAGTGACGAAAACTGTAACATTTTTAAAAAAAAGCATATATAACAACGTACCAAGTACACTTCAGTTGCAAACTAGCCTAAGCTTAGTACACAGCCATATAAAGATGAAAATGAATTGATATTTTGCGAGATATATGCACGTTAATATAAAACTACGGCGAAGTTGCAGCATCTTACGGTACTACTAAGGTTGCCGATACAAAAATACAAAAAAAAATTAAAAAGGTGCTCATGGTAGTTAAAAATACCATATCGGGGTATCGATTTTCGAAGAATTTCATTTTTTTTGTAATTTCAAAAACGATTTAGATTTTTTTTCTTTTTCTTTTTTTTTCGAGTAGTAATGAGCAGGTCCACCCTCTGGTGCCCGTTTATCGTTGAATTTTAGGACACGTTGTATATAGTTCGGTACTATTCTATACGTTGAGTGGCGTAGTGCTTCCCTCCCCTAACCCTCTCCCGTAGCGCAGTCGAGGGTAGCCCGGTCGACGAAGGCCTGCTTAAGGGGGTTCCTACTTCTGAGTGGTTTATAAAGAAATAACCACGAAGGAGATGGCAGGGTCGAGTGAGCGAGCGAATAGTAGCGATCTCCTTCTAACCTAACCAGTCCGAGTCGGGATGACCTAAGTCCCGAGCTCGCTTTGTTCGATCTTACGCTCAATAAAACACCAAAATATTAACTTTTATAATTATTTCGATTATTTATAACCATATAAAGCTTTAAGTGAGATAAAAAATTAATAAACAAACATTTTTCAATGTTTCTTTTTTTAAATGTTAGTTTTTTGTGTAGATTAACACAAAAAACACATAAACCTCGTTTAATGCTTTGCGAAAAAGTTATGAACGATTATATTCGAAGAAATGCGTTTAAAATCACATTTAAAGTCATAAAACTATATGAAATCTGATATATTTTCCATCTCATCAATCTGATATGAGATATTTTCCATATTTTTTCCATAAACCCGACATAAAGACGAAGATTTAAAAAAAATCATCGAAATCGGATAATTTTTAGATTTTCCGGAGCCAAAAAACGAGGTGACCGTGATATAAAATTACCAGTGTTTTATAAAATTAACATATTTACTTACTTCTCCATTAATAGCGACAGGCCTTTGCACAATAGCGTGCATTCCTAAAATGGCGGACTGTGGCAGATTGATGATCGGCATTGATAGCAACGAGCCAAAAACGCCGCCGTTACTGATGGTGAAAGTACCGCCTTGCATATCGCTCGTTTTAAGTTTACCTGTGTAACAAATTAAGTAAGAATTTTTGGGGACTAGAGAAGTTGCAATAATTTTTTGCTACAAAGGAGACAATTTAGTTTTGTATGTAGAATGGGCCCACTCCTTTATATATAAATGAAAGAATAATTAATTTTAAGTATATTTAAAAATATTTCTTTTTCATTTCCTTTTTTTTAGTAATTATAAATAAAAAATAGTTAAATTTTGAATGAAAAAAAAAAACGAATAAGTTACATTAAATGATGATGCCCAAGATGCCCCTGTTCCTAAGATGGGCCAATTTCAAAATTTCATTTTGAATGATTTTTAATTTCGCGCCCATGTTCGGTTAGTACCATAGACAAAACTGAAGGTTCATATCAAAGGAAGGGAGCTGCCATGTTTGCAATGGTTCACAGTTTGTCAGTGACTTTGCAAATGGCTTACGATTTATAACCACATGCTCACAAACTTTTTTAGTATTTTCTTACAAAAATGAACTATTTTCGTATATTTTTTTTATAAAAAAGTTACTTAGAATTACGGGCACTCCTGAGAAGGTTGTGTGTATTCTTTGTTAATTTTCATTTAAAAGAAGTAGTTCTTGTTCCAGGGTAAAGTCACTATAAAGGCCCACCACACGGGTTCCCAGGATGGCTACAGAATATCATAGTTTCTTTGGAACCTACAAGAGAGAACGAGTCATTTTAGTTTTTTTTAGTTATTAGTATTGTAGTGGACATCTGGAAGTTATTTTAGGCTTGGGTAGATATATTATGCAGTATTCAAAAGGATGGTTAAGCAACATTACCATACATCCTGAACGTTACCAATTTCTTGGAATATTCAGACTTATTGTATGTTTAGTGTGTACCCATGTATAATATGTATGTTTATGTATGTCAATGTACTTAATACCTATATTTATATACCTACTGTAATATGTGTATACATATTATGTATATTTATATATTATAGTATGTAACCGGATTAAATATTATTTATTACGAATTATATATATGCATAATTCTTTCCATTTAGGGCCATTTGTTCTGCTTTTAGTCAAAAGTTACTGTTGTGCATTTCGTTTCTTGGTGTGCAATAAAGTATATTCTATATATTTATACCTACCTTCTTAATTTTACTTAAGTTTGAAATTAAAAGTTCTCACATCTTTAATGTGTTCAGGCGAATCTGCAATTATTTTTGCTTCGTGTGGTGCAAAAATTTTTTAATATAAAATATCTTCAAATTGAAGTTAAATTAATTATCATTTTTTACAAAGTGGAAGAATCAATAAGAAGCGACGAGGAGAATGGACTAAACAACAACTTAAATCAGCTATTAAATCTGTAAAAATTTAATATCGCCATATATCACAACGAAAGGCAGCAGCTACTTTCAGTGTACAAAGAAGAACTCTAAGTGATCACCCAAAAAACACATTAACTAAAGCTCAAAAAAAAGATTTAGCAAGATGAATAATGCGACTGGCTCAATTAGGCGTGCCATTGACCCGCAAAAATGTAAGAAAGCAAGCCTATTTTGTGAAGCGCATGAAATACCAAATTCTTTCAATGACTAAAAATGCATAGTAGGTAGAAAACGGCTGAAGAATGTTTTGAAACGAAACCCTGAGATTTCTGTTCGCAAAGCACAGTTAATGAACTCTGCAAGGGCTTAGAAATTGAATAAGCACATTGCACAAGTTGAAAATGTCACCACTGTCGTATGTGTCGACGCTTAAGATAATTTAGTTTCATCTATGATAATATAAGAATAAGGCCGGAATTAAACGACAATTTTCCTGACGGCACTATAGTCAGAATGGTACCAAAAGGTATGACTACTGAATTGTTTTGTGGATTTTATCCATCACCTTGGCAACTATAAGTCATCTGGGAAAACTTTGCTAGTTTTTGATGGAGCTGCTTCACATTTGAATGCTAGAATTGTAGACGCCGTAGATGAGAACAACATCGTATTTTATACGATGGGTTATATTATTTACCATCAAACATCACCCATGAGTTGCAACCATTAGATAAATCGGTGAATAAGTCATATGAGCACCATTGGGATGATGTAATATTGTTGTACGTCTATCATCATTCAGACAGCAAGCTCACGAAATAAAGGTTTAACAAAATTTGCTCTAAGGTATTGCCTAAGTGCGTAACTCAAGGTCATATAAGGAACGGGTTTAGTGCCACTAGCCTCCACCGCTACAATGCAAATGCGATTCCCGATGAGACTTTTGCACCTTCTATCCCCACCCAGCGATCTACCCTGCATAAAACTGCTTCTAACTCAGTAGCTTCAGCAGCTTTAGATTTTAGAGAGTAAGCAATGACTCTGACACGGATTGTGAAGAAAGTTTTCACATGTCGCCATCATTATTAGCCGAACATTATGATGTATTTGATTGCTGTCCTGAACCAAGCATATTACAGCCTCTACCTCAGCCTTTGTCTGAATATTTATCTTCATCTCCTCTTCAGCCACAGAAACGTCAGCCAAGATACGCATGCAAAAGATTGGTTTACTACAGTTCCTCGTCTGAACTTGCTAAGGAAGATATTGTAGGACAACCTACAGCAACAGACATGAATATATATGATACGGCTTTACAATTTCAATCAATGATTCCCAGACTAGTGATCAATTCTTCTACATCAGGCTCAGACGACGAAAATAGTGATATAAACATATTGCTAAAATACTTCCAGTATTCTTCCAGAAACTGTAATATTCATACCTCATCAGATTCAGAATTAGAAAAAAAAACTGGATCTAATCTGATGAAATAACTGCTCACACAGATCAACAGACACGACACACCCAAATAAAAGATCATCATTCTGATTACTCTGACCATGTGCCACTATCAAATTTAAAACAAAGTAATAAGAAAACACAAAAGAGTTCTCCATTTCACGAACATACCGAACTTTGCACTAAAGTAAACAGAGGCGAAAATCAATTAATTATATTGGTCAAAAAGTGACCAATGACTTGTTTAATGTTGTTCAAGAAAAAAAAGCGATCAAAAACATCTAAACCGAAGACAAAAAAACACTGAAAGACGAAAAAAAACCTAAGGAATAAAAACGATATAGAAGACGGAAAAGCAGAAAGGAGAAAATCTTAAGAAAAAAGCGTTAATGTAAAAAGGAGATGCACAACAAAAGAAAATAAGGCTGAAAGATGGTATTGCAGAGCTTGTAAAGCTGGACGAGTCGTAGATATATGACAATGCACTGGTTGTTATTTGTGGTACCACAAAGAATGTGTTGGGCTAACTAAGAACGACGTAGAGGAATTCTTACGTCTAGAATGTGACTAAGAGTCATTTAAACTTGGGTTTTTGTAAGTTCCTATTTCACTGTTTTTTTTTTCTATACTCTCTATAATAATTTAGTATAACGGCCCAAAGTATTCGTTATTGATTTTATTTAGAGATTTTTGTTTTGAAGGTAGATTTAGTTTTGCTAACCCTAAGATGGCCAAAAAAAAACTACTGTAACAGACTGATTATCTAAGAATCTCATTATGTTAGTTTTAGTTTCAGGTTTATATATTATTTTTGTTTTGATAGCATTTATAGATAACGTTCTTAATGTCGATAGGTAGGCACCTATGTTCCTAAAAGGGTACACTTTTATAGGTTTCTAAAAGCAACTGTTTTCTTAAAGAAATGTTTTCTAGTATGTTAATTTGTATATTGATTTTATTCACAAATAAATGAGTAATATCGTGATAAACTTTTTAATGTGATAAATTATTTTATTTATTTCTACATTGCAAAAAATGGGCCTTACGCCGTACGCCTTGTATTTTCTACATTGAGATCACCATGTGTCATAAAAACATATATAACCTGTATTATGCAATGACAATTTTTTTATTTTGATAACGTAAGAGTAAAAAATACGTGTCTGAGAAACACGTGTTAGAGCCATGCTGTAGTTATATTATGGTTGTAGCACAAATGGCCGGCTTGTGAAGGACCACACTATCACAGAATAGCAGCGTAAACTAATGGTCGCCACACACGATCAGTTCAACTGATCATTCCAACTGATCAGTTCAACCTGTTGCTATGTTTTAAAATATTAAATTTTCGATATATCGATAAATAAACTTATATATAAAACTCATCAATATAGGAGTTTTATATATAAGTTTATTTATCGATATATCGAAAATCCAATATTTTAAAAAATATCAAAGTTATAGTTTGAACTGATCAGTTGGAATGATCAGTTGAACGGACCGTGTGTGGCGTCCATAACAGCTTAATGCTGCTGTGTTTCGTATAGTGAGTGTAGATAACTGAAAACATTTTCTACTGGAAGCAAGGCAATTCATCTTAGTCCTCCGGGGTGACAACGCATCTGCATTATAATTCTTAATCGAGGAACAATGTAGGTGTATATGGGCCACAGTATCTACTTATCATCAGTACAGTAAACGCTTTGATTGTAAACAATAAGTAAACCCTAATTTTGAACAACCGACTTCAATGTCAATAAAATGTGGATATCAATTATGTTTTTAAAATGTGAACATCAACAATATAAATATGTAGAAAACAGCTCTAATCTAACTCACATAACAATAATAATACAGTCGAATTGAGAACCTCTTTCTTTTTTTGAAGTCGGTTGATTAAGGTATTATCATTAAGTGTCAAACGCAGGTAACATCCTAAGATGTTACAAACGGAGTAGGGTCTGAGAAAAGGTATAGAGAAAAAAATATAATTTACCATTTCGAGCCCTCTCAGCTAAGGCGTTCAAGGTAAGCTCTATACGTGAATAATCCATAGATTCAACGTTTCTCATTACCGGCACTACAAGTCCTTTCGGTGTAGCAATCGCCACTGAAATATCTACGTAGTCCCTGTAAAAATAAAGTAAGATAATGCTAAGCTGCACTTTTTAAGAAAATTTAAAGAAAAATATGTTTTATGTTTATATCTGCATAATAATTCTTTATTTTCTTGATGTCTTTTGAAAAAAAAAAAACGTTAATTCCACACACTAGGATTATATTCCTGTATCATGGAGGCATTTTACAACGGTTTAACTTCCATTACCCAGACTTCCAGACCCGAACTTAACAAAAATTAAGTATTCATCCGCGGGTGCGAGATTTGAACCAGTAGCTCAGCATTTTAATGCGTTACCGAGCCTTTGGTACTTATGTTCCGTTCTGAGTTCTGAGCCACCTGCATCTACCGACTTCCTGTATGTCTTAACATGTCGTCACTCCATCTATTGGGGGGGGGGGGGGTTAAACCTGTATTCCCTATCGGTTGCCGTTTCTTCGATTTATATGGCCGACTTATGAGTGCATGGAAGGAGCCACCCTGAGTGAAATATTACTGAGCCCCTATTCACGTTCGGCCTACCCTGGCAATCTTGCTAATTTGTTTATCACAGATTGGATTATCCATTAATAATGATGGCGAATTGTAGTCAACAACTTTACCGTCGACGTGCTTAGAAGAACCAGCATGAAAAAACTAAACACGTGCAATGTGATTCATTAGGTGTGTACGAACTTAACAAAAATTAATACATTTCATAATTATAAATCTCGACATTTTGTCGTGGTAGCTCAGATGGTTAGCGCTCGCTGTAAATTTCACAGTACGCGAGCAAATCCGGTTCGATCCCCGCAGGTACCAATGAAATTGTTAATTGCAATTTCAAGTGCTAATTTACCACGTGCTCGGCGATGAGGGAAAACGAACTATTTTAACATGCTTTAACTGACTAGCTATTTTGTTGTTATATTATGTGTGTTAAAAATGTCTGGAAATTGAAAATAGAAGCAAATGTTAAAATTTAATTGAATATGGAGGAAGTCCGAGCAAAATTTTTGCTAAAAATATTTTTCTTTTCGTCTTGTTGGGTGTTGTAAGAAAATTCACTAACCTATATCTTCTCGTTGCCAGTGGAAACTAACTGTCAAAATAAAGAAACTACAGGAAATATCCCCTTAGCTATATTAACATAAACAGCCCTTTTTGAGGCAATCAATGGGGTAAGCCTATACTATTCTGCAATGAACTTTGAAAGACTAAGAAAAAGATGTTTGATGACTCTTAACCTACCTGTATACAATTTTGTCATCCACAATCACTGCGTTGACCACTGGTTGGTCTTCTAAAGCGTTGGCGGCGGCCTTGAGAAACGGCGACATGAAGGACAGTTTCACGCCGAACTTCTTCGTGAAGGCCTCCAAATTTGACTTCCGAAACTCCATGAGACGGCTGGTAAACAAATTGGATTGAAATTGCCAGTAAATGGTGTACATTATGTGAAGTTTCACGAGCCTATAATGGTAACGAGGGACAGGGAAAGTTGAAAAAAAATCTACAATATTTTTTTAACAACCATCGGTGCCGTTTAGGTATGAAAATAAATATTTGACAGATTTCACGTTGAAATAGTTATATTAGTACACATAGAATAAATATTAGTTATATTTCATATTAATGAGATTAAAATGGATACACCAAACAGTGGATATTCCTAAAAGTAAGAGTTAAAATATTATTAAAAATGTTCAAAAAATTAAAGACCACAACCAAAGAATAAAAAAAGACAGCAGACATTGAGGCATTGTTTTCTGTATTTAAGTATGTATTCACTAGAAACCGAAAAACTTTCATGCAATACGCAACTTTTCACATAGGGTGACACTGTGCAATAATATAATAGCTTCACTTCAGTCCAAACTAGCGACATTTAGTGAGCAGTAAATTGTTCCTCATTGCAACACTATTTCACTAGGTGGCAGCACTTATACTTATTTCTGCCGCCAAATAGCAGTGCTTGCATTTCAGTGTTCCGGTCTGCAGAAGAGCTAGTATAATTATCGGCTGTGTGAGGAATTCCACTAGAAGTAGGTGCGGGTAATATGGCCTGTCGGCTAATACGGCTTAAGTAACAAAAATGCAATTTAAAATGATCGATGTCGTTCAAGGCCACACTTGCAGGTAGCTAACACTCATAGATGGCGCTAACTTGACGCCACGCGTTAGATCACTCGTTGCTATGCCACCAGTGCGGCGTCCGTAGATATAATATACAGGGTGTTAGAGTAAATACCGTTATCCTTGAAAACAGTGGTTTGGTTTCACTTATAGAACGTAAATGCAATGAATTTTAAAAAAAACCGCTATTTTCTTTCATAAAATTTAAAAAGTTTCTGTCCGACACCGTCCGTAAATTCATGGATACCCTATGCGCCTGAGTGACGTAATCACTGTAAAGATCACCGCCCGCGCTAGCTACCTACACAACATTCCAAAAAAAACACAACAGGTACACATAACCTGTGATCTAACTTTTCCTTCATACTTTCATCCTGGCTTAGGACAGGCAAAAATTGTGGAATTAAGGAAACATTTAGATTTTACTAAAAAAATGTTATTTTTAATTGAATTTACGTTCTATAAGTGAAACCAAACCACTGGTTTCAAGGATAACGGTGTTTACACTAACATCCTGTATATTGAATTATCATCATCACAGCCCTGCACAGGTCTACCGCTGAACATAGACCTCCCCCAAGGAATGACACAAAACACGCTCCTGGGTCACCAGGTTGTCACTTGACTTTGCTTACCGGTACGTGGGTGCCATTAATAGTTACACATAAAATAACATTAAATGTAGTAAATCTTTTATAGTGGTAGAGCCACGCTGCAGCTATATTACGGTTGTAGCACGAATGGGTCGGCTCGACCGGGGAAGGAACACGCTCTCACAGAATACCAGCATAAAATAGCAGCTTAATACTGCTGTGTTTCGTATGGTGAGTGTAGAGATCCGGAGACCCTTTTTTACTGGAAACGAGGCATTCCATCTTAGTCCTCAGGGGTGACAACGCATCTGCATTTTGATTCTTAATCGGGAATAAATGTAGATGTCTATGGGTCACAGCATCCACTTACTATCAAGTGGACTGTGTGCTCGTTTGTCACCCTTATTCTGTATATATATATATATATATATTTAATGTCTCCTGGTTTGTTATGATAAGAAAAGTTACTAGGTAACTTTGTAAGGCAAATAAAGTGCTTCAAACGTGCGCGTAAACACATACATTTATCCTGATTGTATCGCGCAATCAACATTCCGAATCATAAACAGTATATATAGAACTTCTCCGAACTATCGCTCGGAGTGTTGGCCGCTCCCCGGGCATAACACCTTGCCCGGCGGGAGATCTCCCCTTTTCCTTCTACGGCCACACTGATATATCCTTATTCAATTATATGAATATTATATTATTTGCAATAGTATTGGAAGTAGGTTTGAATTTAATCACTATACTTATGTACATCCTGATTATTTTTTGCACAATCGTTTGCTGCGACTGAATCTAAAACTCAGAATCTCCGTTTCGTTATACATGAACAAATGACCTTTAAGCATAATTTAAGAATATATATTTCTTTTATGATATGGATTTTTTGAAGGTTCCCAGTACCCCATATAGTATATTCTTATCTCTATCTTATGTCTTTTATTATCTATAGTACCTACATTCTAATTTTTAAAGTTATGTTTTACGGAAGAAAGCAAAACGTAGGAATATTGCAGAAGTAGATATAATTGTATCGTAAAAATTTTTGCTCAAATGTTCTTCAGGTTTATATAGTAAATAATAATGTACCTCATATCACACTCATTATACGTCGTCAACATCGCTGTGGTGTTCTGCGCCTCCTTCAGCCTCTCTGCAATGCGCTTGCGCATCCTGTTCATTCCGATCGAGAACTCTGTTCGCGAACCTGATATAGTTTTCGTTGGGTCTGCTAGTTTTTGGGCTGCGAGCTGTAAATTAAAGGGAAATAAGAGACGGAAAAAAGTTAAGATCTCCTTCCATCTGCTTCCCTGTGTATCATAATAATTGATTAAGGAAGCGTTAGCAGCATTTTGTGAACTGCGACAAAAATTGACAACTTCGGAGACGAAGATGTGCATGATGCATGAAAAATTTGAGCAAAATATCCGGTACTACAAGCACTAAATGCTAACCGCCTGTGCCGATTATGTGGATTATACTAATTAAGTAAATTACAGACTAGATATTATGTCCTACTTCTGCGCACAGACCTATTACATTATATTAAAGCCTGAGAGGGATTTTGGAGCCATTAATTCACCACGGTGCACCAGTGCATGTTGACGGACGTAATATTTTATTCCTTAGACATGCAGGTTTCCTCAAGATGTTTTCGTTTACCGCCAAGCACGTGGTAATTCAACAATAATAATTGCCATCAACAATATTATAAGTTATATAGGCGCACAGGTTATATAAGTTGACAGTTGACATCTATGAAACCTTTGCGGCATTAACGGAAACTACTTAGCCCCTGAACTACCACATTCTTATAATTAAATATTGTAAATTTTCCCAGGTGTGGAAGGGGCTCACAAACAGCGGTGGTTAACATAATGATTTCTAATCTATCTGGAGGTAGAGAAATGGGTTGGCTCCACCGAGATAAGGCCACACTGTAATAGAATACCAGCATACAGCATAGAATAACAGCAGCTTAATGCTGTGTTTCGTTGACAATCGAAGACCCTTTTTAATGGAATCGAGGTACTCACCATCTTAGTCAGGGGATGGACTAAGATGGAAAGGACGTATCTGCATTACGATTCTTAATCGAGGATGGATGTTTTCTAGTGCGTGCAAAAATTTTGAATTATTGTTTAACACATACTCAACGGTGAAAGAAAATATGGTAAGAAAACTTGTATGGCCATGTAAAAATATTCTGAGGACATGATGTGAAGTTTACCAACACGCATTTGCGCAACATGACGAACATTTCCCGCCACAGTGGCGTAACATGGGTAGCTGCCGCTCGGGTTTGTTGGACCCAACTTGGCGTTCCGCAAACCGCGCCACCACACAATCCGAGTATTTTAAATAATATAAACTTTTTTGTCAGAACTTTTTGGTCAGAACGTGTAGAGATTATCTCTATTTCCTGTCGACCTATAGAAATTGCAGTTTTACAGTGCTTGTATTGCCGTGTAGTGGCGGTTGAGAATATCCACTACCCCATATCTTCCCGTGGGTGTCGTAAAAGGCGACAGAGGGAGACAGGCAGGAGATGGGCAGCAGCATCTTCCTGATAACAACTGTGACGTAATAAAAAACTGCGGTTGCCAACCCGCTCGCCAAGCGTGGCAACTATGGCAAATACCCCCCAATGAATAAATACACAAACAGACGGCCCCCAGTCCCCGGCGGCCCCGCTATTCCTGGCTACGGTGGCGACCATGGTAACGGCGGGGCAGGGGGTGCTAAGAATCTCCGGTGGAGGTTCGGTTGCCACCTACGACGACTCGACCTGGCAACATATAACGCACGCACCCTGAGGACTGACGAGAAGATACTAGAGCTGGAAGAAGAGGTAGACAAGTTGCGCTGGCATATTATTGGATTATCCGAGGTCCGAAGAGGGGGGGAGGACACGGCAATCCTCGAGTCCGGCAACTTGTTCTATCACCGGGAGGGCGACCATCTGTCCCAAGGAGGTGTCGGATTTATCGTCCACAAGTCTCTCGTCAACAACGTTGTAAAGATTGGGAGTGTGTCGACGAGGGTCGCGTACCTGATACTCAGAATCACCAAACGGTATTCGCTGAAGGTCATTCAGGTTTACGCACCAACCTCGGCACATCCCGATGAGGAGGTGGAGGAAATGTATGAGGATATTTCCAGAGCCATACATTCCTCCAAAACCCACTACACGGTGTTGATGGGAGACTTCAACGCAAAACTAGGCACAAGAGAAAGCGGTGAGCTGAAGGTAGGGAAACTTGGAGTAGGGCAACGGAACCGAAGGGGCCAGCAGCTGGCCGACTTTATGGAGAAAGAGGGACTCTTTATGATGAACTCTTTCTTCCAGAAGCGGCCCCACAGGAAGTGGACCTGGTCGAGCCCCGACGGTTCGACAAAAAATGAGATTGACTTCATTATGACGACCAGACGCCAACTGTTCAGTGATGTCTCAGTGATCGCAAGGGTGAAAACTGGCAGCGATCACCGAATGGTTAGAGGCACACTGAACCTAAACGTTAAGTTGGAGAGGTCTCGTCTAATGAAGTCAACGCTCCGTCCCCCTCGTGCTCTAATCCAGAATCCCGAAACCTTTCAGCTCGAGTTACGTAACCGCTTCCAGTGCCTAGAAGATTGCAATGCAGTGGACGATATGAACGACAAGCTCGTGGAAACTGTCCATGCGGTCGGAGCTAAGTTCTGCAAGACCCGCCGCAGAAGAACACAAAAACACACAGACAGATCTCCAAATGCATGCGGCGAGACTTACGCAACTTTAATACTTCTCGTATTAAAGAAGCGATCGAGCGGAACCAGGGCTCCAAAGTCTTTGCCAGTGATCTGTCTGCCAGAAAGAGCCAACTATCAAAGCTGAAGACTGAGTGTGGCAACATCGTTTCCGGGACACCTGAGATTTTGAGTGAGATTGAGAGGTTCTATGGGCAGCTGTACACATCATCGTTGGAGCCACACTTAAGTGTGAGTAACGATCCAAGAGCAAGTCTTATCCGACACTATTCCGATGATATCCCGGACGTCAGTCTGAGCGAGATTAGAATGGCTCTCCACCACCTTAAAAACGGCAAGGCCCCGGGCGAGGATGGAATTACAGCGGAGCTTCTGAAAGCGGGTGGAAAACCGGTACTTGAAGTCCTTCGGAAGCTCTTCAATTCCGTCCTCCATAGTGGCACTACTCCGGAGGCGTGGAGCAGAAGCGCGGTGGTTTTGTTCTTTAAGAAAGGCGACAACGCTCTCTTGAAGAACTACAGACCGATTTCCCTTCTGAGCCGCGTCTACATGCTATTTTCGAGAGTCATTACGAATCGTCTCGCACGCAGACTCGACGACTTCCAGCCTCCCGAACAAGCCGGTTTCCGAAAAGGCTTCAGTACCATAGACCACATACATACCCTGCGGCAGATTGTACAGAAGACCGAAGAGTACAATCTGCCACTTTGCCTTGCATATGTGGACTATGAGAAAGCCTTTGATTCCGTCGAAATTTGGGCGGTGCTACAGTCCCTTCAGCGGTGCCAAGTTGACTGTCGGTACATCGAAGTGCTGAAGTGTTTGTACAGTAGGGCTACGATGGCTATCCGAGTACAGAACCAGAGTTCGAAACCTATCCAACTGCAGAGAGGTGTAAGACAGGGTGATGTTATATCCCCGAAACTCTTCACCGCTGCGTTGGAAGACGTTTTCAAGCTACTGGACTGGAAAGGATACGGTATTAACATCAATGGCGAGTACATCACTCACCTTCGATTTGCCGACGATATAGTCATTATGGCAGAATCGCTGGAGGACTTAAGCATTATGCTCAATGACCTCAATAGTGCCTCCCAACGGATAGGTCTTAAGATGAACATGGACAAAACAAAGATCATGTTTAATGTCCATGTCACACCTATGCCGGTAGTTGTTGGGAGCACTATGCTCGAAGTTGTTGACGAGTACGTTTACCTGGGACAAATAGTCCGACTAGGTAAGTCCAACTTCGACCGAGAGGTCAATCGACGGATTCAACTCGGCTGGGCAGCGTTCGGGAAATTACGACATATCTTTTCGTCAGGTATACCTCAATCTCTAAAAACGAGATTGTACAACCAGTGCGTGTTGCCAGTGATGACTTACGGATCTGAGACGTGGTCCTTCACTGCTGGCCGTATGAGGACGCTTAAGGTCGCTCAGCGAGCTATGGAGGAGGGCTATGCTTGGAGTTTCTCTGCGTGATAGACTCAGAAATGAGGATATCCGCAGTAAAACCAGAGTGATCGACATAGCCCAACGGATTAGTAAGCTGAAGTGGCAATGGGCCGGCCATATAGCTCGAAGAACCGATAACCGATGGGGAAGAAAGGTTCTCGAGTGGCAGCCTCGTACCGGTAGGCGTAGTGTAGGGCGACCCCCACTAGATGGAGTGACGACCTGGTAAGACATGCAGGAAGTCGATGGATGCAGGTGGCTCAGGACCGTGCTTTGTGGCATTACTTGGGGGGAGGCCTATGTTCAGCAGTGGACTCGTGAAGGGCTGTAATGATGATGATGAATGATGAAGTGCTTGTAATATTTGAACCAATTTTTAGATGTTTTGAAATGTTTACTGTCCCCATTTAAAAAAATAAATCGGGAAGCTGACTTTCATAGGTGCCATGAGCCATGGCCCCCTAAGCTACGACACTGTCCTGCTTCAAAACTCTCAAAATACGGAGATTAGTATCTTAACAGTGAAATATATGCTAATGTCGCTTTAATTTTAATACTTTTTATTTAATTGTAATAAATAATGTAATGTAATATAATAATAATAATAATCTTGGATCCTTGGAAAATTACCGTAGGTGCGCCTGCAGCTTTGATTATTTGAGTTGTCGTCTTTGTGGCTTGGGCTGTGGCGGCAGGGGCAGCTGCGGGTGCAGGTGCAGGGACTGGTGCTGGTGCTGCGGGTGCCGCCGCTGGTGCTGGTGCAGTTGCAGCCTTTGCAGGTGCCACACCAGTTACGTCAATCTATAAAGTGAAAATGACAGAAGTGTATAAACATCCCACTGCAGGCATAACCTGCTCACAATTATGTCAATGTGGGTCGTGGACTTTATATGTCTTCGATTTATATATTTTTTTATATATTATTTCCCAGACGTATATGTTTTTCTGACGATATTTTCCTTCATGTACTTCTAAGCTGTATCTCTGATCCATGCGATCTCCTTAATTAGAAAGTTGTTATATTAAATTCTTTATTGACTGTGTATCTGAAACATGGAATTAAGAAAGTGTTTTTCTCAGTTTTAGTGTAACCATGCTATTTTTTAAGTCCAAGGTATAATATAGCCATAAGCAGAATATTGCATGTGTCTGGTATTGCGATCGTACTGTATCGTAAAACGGTAAAGGTTTTTGTCCAGTGTAGTGAGTGAGTGAGTTTAAGAGCTAATAATAGTGAAAAAGAGGAGACAGAGTAATATATTAAATGATAATTCCAACAAATCAGTTAGCTAGAATGGCAATAGACTGGTCATAAAGCTTGAAGATTTGATAAACCATAGTGAAGAAAGGTAGCCTCGTACCGGTAAGCAAAGTGTATGGCGGCATCCCATTAGATGGGACGACAGCCTTGTAAAGCATGCAGGAAGTCAGACTCAGAAACGCGTTTTGTGGTGGGAGTGGCCTGTGTTTAGTAGTGAACTTGTGATGAAGTTATGATTTGAAGAATTGTAGTGAAATTATGATGGTGATGAATATAAATGACTTGATAAAAGATATATCGTGGTAGTTCAATAAAACTTAAACCTGGAGTCTAGCCTAGACTCCAGGTTTAAGTTTTATTGTAAGCGATCAATCAAACAACATCCCCAATGTTGCGAAAACTTCGATTGGAATTTTTACGCACATGGCGATGAGGGAAAATATTATGAGGAACCTGGGAAATTTAAAAAAATGGGATTGGCCCCCTCCGCCCCTTCTGCATTGGCAACACTGAAGCTTACTTTTTAAAACCGAAGTTATAAAATACTTAGTCTACCTGATGGTATATGATTACTGCAGTCCAAGGACACTTGTGGCTAACTTCGCAGCTACAGCTACGTAGTGTAGTACTCACAGCCTGCAATTAAGCTAGCTTTCTATATCCTTCACACGGGAACACAGGAATGCAAGCACTATTTGGCGGAAAAAATAGGTAAGAGTATGGTATCTACCTAGACAAACTCCAAGGCAGAAAAGAAGTCCTAGCCTGCCCTCAATACTCGTAAAGCCACGAAAATTATGTCGGCTTGATCGGGAAAAGTCCGCGCTCTCACAAAATACCATCGTAAAGACAAAGATATTTCAAAGAGTTTCGTATGGTGAGTGATTAGAACCGGTGATTCTTTTTAAGAGGCATTAAATCTCAGTTCTCAGAAGTGACAACGCATCTGCATTTTTCAGTCTACATTTGAGTTAAGTACGTGTCTATGGGTCACAGCATCCATTCACCATCAGGTGAACTTTGTAATAGCTATTAATTTGTTAGAAATTAGCGTACGCATGTGATATAGTGCGTCGTTTATTGGTTGTTAGTTTACTTACCTGAAACAGCGGCTGTTGTGATTTAACCGACTCCCCTTCCTTTACAAGCATCTTGATAATTTTTCCGTGGCCAGGTGCCATTACTGGTAGTGCGGTCTTGTCTGTTTCTATTTCAAGCACCACCTCATCCATTGCAACAGCATCGCCTTCTTTTTTAATTAATCTGGAAAATATACAGTTTTGCTCGGTAGCTTACAGAGACTAAGGGTATTGTTATTGTTTAATGTTTTTAATTTAGTTTTGCTTTTTGTTGTACATTGTTGTTTCAGTTTTAATTCACGACTAGACATTTTGGGCTTTTTTTTAAGATTTCTTGATAAAGTTGCCTCTTGCCCGTTGCCAGTTGTCACACTGGGCAAACCATGGAATACTCTAATACACAATAGAATGGCTGTAAACTTTATATTGTACGAGAATTGGCGTTGCCAAACCCGATTCGCTGGGTTGACGGACTGAGTAAATTTACACATTTTAGCCTTTTGATTAATGTTCAAGACCATCATTAAAAAAAATCGTTTAAATTTTCATACATATTTATTTGTAAATAAGCTGGAATTTGGCATTTTCTAAATAATTTGCATGCGAAATTTGGAAACGATTGTAACGTCAAAACACATCTCGTGTTGACATTTATTACGTGTGAATAGACGTGTTAGTGACATTTTAGTGGCACGCGGGTCGCCGTACAAGGGGCATTTAACGACTTACTTAACCATTCTTAACACACATTATTCATTCGACCTTCAAAGTATCGAAACAACTGTACACAAACATTTTTAAGGATGCCAAAATAAAATCGGTGTTTGTGTAGATCCTGTAAATACTAACACAAGCACTAGAGTCTCTATAAAAATATTATAATTCTGTATCAGCTCCACGCTCAAACCAAACGAGGACAGCACCCTTGTCCACTCTGTCAAAGGCCTTTCCCAAATCCAAAAATAAAAATGCACAGAAAATTTTCTTGTTGTCGATCAAAAACTTCTCTTTGAACACGCGTTTAGAAAATACATTATCCGTACACCCCATTCTATTTCTAAATCCAGCTTGCATATCCCAAACTTGCCATCAGTTCCTTTTATAACTTTTTAACCGACTGCAAAAAGGAACAGGTACTCAATTCGACTGTAGTTCTTTTATGTGATAGTTACCTCAGAACTTTTTTCTAGGTGAACCAGTTTTGGTGTCTTTTTTATTTAAAAGCTGGTGCTTTTCGTGAGGTCCCATATAAATTTGATCAAGATCTGACCTCTGATCTGTTTTAGAGTTATCCTTAATAATTCGTTTTTAATTGACTTTGAATACATTGATAATGTTTTTATTTTATTTATATTGAAGTTGGTTGTACATTTTTTTTATTTCACCTTGTATTTTCACTTTTATCTCATTTTTTATAGAATGGGGTGACAAACAAGCACACAGTCCACCTGATGGTAAGTTAATGTTGTAGCCCGTAGACATCTCCATTTATCCTCGATTAAAATCAAATGCAGATGCGTTATCATCCTTGAGGATTAAGATGGAATGCGTTGTTTCCAGTAAAAAGGGTCTCCGGTTTTCTACTCTCATCATACGAAAAACAGCAGTATTAAACTGCTACTTTACGTTGGTATTCTGTGACAGCGTGGTCCTTCACCGGTCGGCCGACCAAGCCGGAAAAGAAGTCATCATCTGATTTTTACTCACTGATATAATTGTTATCGTATGTAGTGAACATTTTTAACAAGGTTTTCTATGATGATGATACAAAAGTTAGTTAATATTTAAAAAAATCATTTGCCTTTCAGTTCTAGTAAGTTCAAATAGACTCACTTGACATCGCCACTAGTCACAGAGTCCGGAAAGGTTGGAGACTTCACCTCTTCGACGCCGTATTGAGGAGCATTTAAATGAATGAGACGTCTTAACGCCATACAAGTGGGCGGCGTCTTCCACTGCAGAGTTATTTGCCATCTGTAAAATGGAATAATCCTTACTATCAAACTTTCGGGTTAGACATTCAAATAAATACAGATTAGCATCAGCGAGAGCCAGACCGACCGACGAGTATGTGTAGATATATGTACGTGAATGAAGTGAGAGCCTCTCTCACTTGTCAATGTGTTAGGATTGTACCTAATTGAAGTCCGTAGTCTACCTATTCCTCTAAGTGGCTGGCGTGGGAAATTTTATTTATTATGTATGTGCGTATAAATATATCATGTAGTGGCGGTGTAAGAGTATCTTCTATTCCGTATTATCCTGTGGGTGTCGTAAGAAGCGAAAAATCAAGTCAAGAGCCCATCTGCACTGCTGCCCATCTCTTCACGACTAAAATAAAGAACTGCGGTTGACTACCCGCTTGCCAACCGTGGCAACTATGGCATATATCCCCCTAAGAGGTAATCTATAGGGGAGGCCCATGTTCAGCAGTGGACTTGAATAGGCTGTAATGGTAACAGTAGTGGTATAAATATAAGCTTTCACGATTTTGAAATTTGTATATGTTAAAATATATTCTCTGGCGTATTTTTGCTTCTATATATGTATCCATTTCGTACTTGTTTTCGTTTATTATATACGTATCTGTTTGACACATGCTCATACCCTTAGTACAACTTTTTACACCAACTTTTTCGCATCATTGTGCAGGACTTATTGCCTCAAGCCCCCAATATAGAAACACTCGTTTTAAGGTTATAAGCTCTGCCCACCGTTATAAGTCTAATATTTAAACTGGCGATTTCGATGGTTATATAGCCATTTTACGAAGATTTTATTTACGTGGTAAAGCAATGCTGTTGCTACTTATATTTTGGTTGGAGCACGAATGGGTCGGTTCGACCGGGGAAAAACCACGCTCTCAAAGATTACCAGCGTCAAATAACAGCTCAATGCTATTGCATTTAATATGATGAGTGTAAATAACCGGAGACACTTTTTACTGGAAACGAGGCATTTAATCTTAGTCCTCAGGGATGGCAATGCGTCTGTATTTGATTCTTAAGCGAAGATAGATGTAGATGTTTATGGGTCACAGCATCTACTTACCATCAGGTAGACTGTATGCTCGTTTGCCACCCATATTCTATAAAAAAAGGTTATATAGACTATTTATTCTATACTCTATAGCAGGGGTAGCCAACTTTTGTGTAGGTAAGATCTACTCTTTTGTTTAAGATGTGTCCCGGTCGACTTGTTGTTGTAGGTATACCTAATCTAAGGAGGACGTAAGGAGGGAGATGTTTCCGCCTCAACTAGTTTCCTAAATTCTTTCCTCTATTTAGTATGTAATCTAAGTCGAATCGTGTCTAATATTAAAACATCAGGAGCGATCGAATAAAATTGTTACTTGTTGGGTACCCCTGCTATAAAGTAATCGGCGATATCAAATAAGGGTCTCACAGTTTATAGAGATATAATTGCGGTAAACGTAATAGTTACATAATACACAAATATACGGAAAATAATAACTTACTTCGTCATTTGCCTTCGCAGATTTGTACAAAGAGGCCTTAGTGCTTTCGATGTACGATTCAATTGTAATAACTGAGTGAAAAGATTATTTCATAATTTTTAATAATTCATTTAAATTTACATAAAATGTTTTCTTTTTCCTACAGTGCAGAAAGTACACAAAAAATATTTAACAATTTAGGTAACAAAATACTGGTTCAACAGTTTACTACGAAGTCAACTTTTTTCATTTTGAAATTGAATAAAAAGTTACATAAGTCGTCGAACGAATAATTTGCACTAAAGACAATTTTACATGAATTTAATTTATAATAAAACTTGAATAGGCATAGGATAGGAGTCGGGCGTAAGTGTGATATTATCTGGGGGCAGGGCAGTGCCCCCGCCAAGTCGAGGAAAAAAGCGGCACGGCCGTACCATACTTTTCTCGAAGCAGTTCAGGTCGTTTTCAACCCCCCCCCCCCCCAATAACTCTGTTCTGGATAAAACTAGAAGCCTGAATTCAGTCACCAAGCAGGCATTGTATAAACATGGTATATTTCAAATTTCATTCAATTTGAACCAGTAGTATAAGAATTATAACTAGTCAAAGTTTCTGATGGAAAAATTTGGGATGTGCAAGCGGGATTACTAGAAAAGGAATGGGATGTACAGATCAAGTCTTTTCCATGCGCATGATCGCGGAGAAGTTTTTGGCCAAAAACCAAAAGGTTTTTTGTACGTTCATGGACTTGGAAAAGGCCTATGACAGAGTGAATAGGGATGTGCTATGGCAAACACTAAACTCATTTCGGTTGAGCGCTGGCTTGATACAGGCATTGGAGTCCCTTTATAGGGACTCTAGTGCTTGTGTTAGGATCAACGGGGTCTACTCGGACTGGTTTGGCATCCATAAAGGTTTCAGACAGGGCTGTGTGGCTTCCCCGTGGCTGTTCAACCTATTTATGGACAGTTGTTTGCAAAATTTGAAAGTTGAAGAATGCGGATTAAGAATGGGTGAGTTAACCGTCAAATGCCTTTTGTACGCCGATGATCAAGTTATCCTTGCGTCGTCATGAATGAGGGGGAGGCCACAAGGCCCAGCAGTGGGACGTATATACACTGTAACTTTAACTTTCAATCCAAATATAAACCAGCCATTTGAGCGTTATTCCAACATCTGTTGGTAGTTTTTAATAGTATTCAATAAAGTTACAAAAAATAACTTGTTTTACTGCTTTTATTTGCAAAACTATTAAATACTAAACATTAAAATCCAATAACAAAATTGAAGTACTATGTAAACTATTTACATTGTGTCTTTTTGGATATTGATTAAAGCTTTGTGCATCTACGAGTATAATAAGCAACATAATTTAAACAATATTCATTAAAATAACAAAGTTAAGAATTAAAACTATCACATACATTTACTCACATTTCGTAAAATTCTTCGTCTATACATACTAAAAAAATTAAAGTTATTTAAATTAATATTTTTGGTTTGGTGTACCCATATAAAAGATAACAATAATAATAAAACATGACAGAATGGCCACTCTGAGTTTATTCTTTCGTTTTGACTTTTATGTTGCGAAGAAAGAAGGTTTCATTTATTCTTTTTTTGCTAAAATGTAACAAGTGATGTACGTGATGTGATGGCTAAACCTTATAACTACTACGTTAGCAAAATTTAGCCATTTTAATTTCTACCGACATGCAAGCAAGTTTTGAAATACTGTAAAATTGCAGTGATTAATTAATATCAACTCGTTCCTTTGTCTTAGCCGACAATTTGCAAAAGACATTATTATGTTCAGAAAATGTATCTCCACCAGACCGGTAATGCCCAGTTTCTAAGGTACCTACTTTTCTAAGCGGTTTATCTATACTGAATAACCTTTTTTACCGTCTGAAAAAAATAGGATGTAATATGTGAACGGAGTAGAAGTCTATGGCAATGATATCTTACACAAAATAAAAACAAAAATTTTAAATTAAATAAATATATTAATTAAATTCTATCGAAATTCAAATCATATCCACCCTAGCCTGTGACCCAGTGAAGTGACAAGGTCAAAGATGCCTACTAAATTTATTGTTTTACTGCCGTTCGTAAAGTATGACTTGAATTTCGATAGATTTTAATTAATTAATTTAATTCAAAATCTTATTAATTTAATCAAAATTTATTTTTTTTAAATATCATTGTCATAATTATGCTTCTACTTCGTTCAAATGTTACACTATTTTTTTTCAGACGGTAAAAAGGTTATCCCGTATATTGGCGCCATTATTTTGATAACCTGTGGAGGCGAGTTTCCGAACATCACAATTTAAGATAAACTTCGCTTAAACTTAGCTTAACTTAACTGACCGATTTGCGTCGTTTTTTGGTTCTCTTACTTAATTTGACGTTTTATTTGAAGCAAACTACATCATTATATATATTCCCAGTGAAAGCTGTAAATTGTAATTATTCAAAGGACGTAATGATTTCTTAAATTTACGCGAACATAACACATTGACCAATTGTGAAAATTTTACCATCTGACAAAGTAACTGCATTTTTAGACCACCTTATATACATCTCTATAAACTCTAAAATACAATTCACAATGATATTCCCTTCCATGATGTTTTAGTCATCCGAAATCCTGATAACACTATTTGGTCACACTGTGTATAGGAAAAAGACACATAGTAAAGTAAAGTTAAAAAGTAAAGTTACAGCCTATATACGTCCCACTGCTGGGCACAGGCCTCCCCTCATTTCTGAGAGGGTTTTAGGGCAAGAAAGTGTCCGCCGCGCTGCCCTAATGCGTGTTGGCGAACTTCTTAAATAATTTTTTTCCTTATTCCTCAGACATGCAAGGTTTCCTCACGATGTTTTCCTTCACCGCCGAGCATGTGGTAAATCAGCACTTAAAATTGCAATTAACAATTTCATTGGTGCCGGCGGGGATCGAACCCGGGTTACTCGCGTTCTGTTATATTTTTGTGTTATATTTACAGCGAGCGTTAACCATCTGAGCTACCACGGCTCAGGAAAAAGACACATAGCAACCGATATTAAAATGGTGAATCTCACAATCATCCTTCACAGTTAGCAACCGTGGGTAAATCTTTGTTTCAGAGAGCATTAGGGATCTGTGACAGAAAACATCTGGCCGTCGAGCTTTAGCACGTCAAGCAAGTCTTGCAAGACAACAAGCTTCGGGTCTCTCGCTTACGTCACAGTGACCGAGTGAAGCCGGCCACAGTTGAGTCACAGACAAGGTTGACTACATCTTGAAGCGAGCTTTCATTAAAACGTACTACAAGCCGCCGAAGAAGATTAGTCAATTTCTACCATCTGTCCAGTGTAATATCCCTCTACAAGGT